TTATTTGTGGATTTTTTACATACAAAATATCGGATTATATTTCAGACTCATGTCGGATTCAGATTTTCAGGAGTACTTAAACTATCCAAAACCCCTTCAAAATCAGTCTGTCTATTTTGTTGCAGACCAGATTTGCAATTTTAAGATTTTTGGCCTAACTAAATCCTTATTCGTTAGATACAAATTTACGATAATTTCGGACTTGATTAAGATTTTACTATCGAATTTTTTACATAAAGATATCAGATTATTCCGAACTCATTACGAATGCATTTTCTTTCAGTCTTTCTCCTATTTGTCAGTTCACTAGAAAATCACTTTTCAGATTACTGTTATTAAAAATTGAACATCGTTACCCCTATAGAATTTTATTTACTTTTATTTCTCTAATTCGCCCCTACAATATACTACTAGTTTTTGAGAAAAAGTTATCACGTACTTTCGGAGAAAATAAATAAAATCTGCCATTTTCAACGTTCAGGTTAGGAATCCTATGTTAAATATTACAACTTTGAAGTTAAATATCTCTATTTTTAACATCGCAAGCGATATTGAAATTTTTACCACGCATACAGGATATAAAAATGAGCATTTTCTCAAAGTTTTAGAAAAATCTATCACAAATCGATTTGCCGGAGAACTTCCTTAAATTGATACCTTTTGTTTTACAGTGTACGAATTTGAAGTAAGATTTCAAAAATTCAAAATAGCGGATCCAATATGGCGCACGAAAAATATTAAAAATCCAACGGATTTGCTTGAAACTTATTACTCGGGGGTTTTTGGGGTTACTGATTACGAATTTGAAGTCAAATTTTAAAAATTCAAAATGGTGGATCCAATATGGCGCACGAAAATTTTAAAAATAAATTTGAATTTCTTGAAACTTATTATTTTGAATTTGTGAAATCTGACTTTATTTTGGTAATCAGAGACCCCAAAAACCCCCTAGTAACATGTTTCAAGCGAATGCAATTGATTTTTTCATTTTTTTTCCGCCATTTTGAAATTTGACGTGTTAGAGAAAATCTAACAATAGATTCGAATTCAACGTAAAAAAATACGTTAAGAAACGTTCTTACTTTTCCGGGTCCAAAAGTTGACCAGAATATCATCAATTTTAGTCATGATTAATAAAAAAAAAATTATTTTATCGTTCTCTCTCTCTCTTTTTCTAATACTGTTTCTCTCTTGAGCTGTTGCTTCTTCTTCTTCGCATTCCCAATGAAATCTTGTTAAAGAGAGAGAGAGTGAGAAAGAGGATAGACAAAAGGGTGAAAAGAAAGTCATGACTCGTGGCGTTCCTAGGGACCATGGGTCCATAAGAGGGAGAGGGGAGAAAAGGGAAGCAAACGCCGAAATTAACTCCAAACTGTAAGCTCCTGGCACCTGCGTCCCCGCAAGCACACGCTTCTCTGGAGCAAGAACCGGCGCGGCAGTTTAACGTTGAAGCTTCTATCCTTCGTTTCCATTTTAACCTATTCGTCGTCTCATCAGAAAGATTTCCGGTTTTAAATGTAACGCGCATTCGGTTAACGACTCCATAAGATTAAACATTTTATCATTTCTAATAAAAAATTAAATTTCAAAAAACAATTAAAATTCATCAAAATTTAGTATTCATTTTATTTAAAATTTTTTTTTAATAGTGTGATATTGTTTTTTAAAAGAGGGTTTTTTTTACTCTAGTTATATTGTTAATACAAATCCAAAGTTTCATTGAATATAAAGAAGAATCATTATTGTAGAATAGTGTATAAAAATAAACTCCACGTGTTCTGTGCGATTTTAATCGTCTTTTGAGAAAATAAGTATGTGTGAAGAAATAGAAAACGTTTTCATTGCATGGATATTGATGATAAATGTTTGATTTCTCACCTAATGAATGGGGTAATTAACATATCATCTGTCATTTTGTGTAATTAACAAAATATTTTTTGATATTTTTATTTCAAAATGTTTTTTTTTGACTTTTCTATTATTTTTCTTCATTTGCATTTCCCTATGGCTTTTCATTTTTATTAATTAACTTTCATTTAATTAATTTTAATATAATATTTAAAACAAATTTTAAATAATTATGAACTGATTTTAGATTTTCTATTAATAATTACTTTTTTTTATCTTTAATTTAATTAATTTTAATTTATTTATTACTTTTTTTTATTAAGATTGTTTTTATATTTATATTACTGCACTAAAAAGAAAATTTATTTATTGATTCAAATCGATTACTTGACTATTATATCAATGAAATATTTATTTGTATTAAATAATTATTATTTGATTCAATTAAATGGTATTTGTTTCAAATACAGTAATTATTGGTACAAATGCAATTTATTTAATTCAAATAAAAATTTTTTAGTTCCAGTAAATATTTATTTGATAATTGTCAAGTAATCGATTACTTGAATCAAATAAATTTTTTTTCATTGTGATTATTATTACCATTTTTAATTATTGTTACCTACTAATTGATAATATTGATTATTTAATTAATGTTAATTAATATATTTATTATATAATACAAATTGTTTTATTTATAATTTTATTAATAATTAATTGTTCTATTATTAATAATAATAATTATAATAATAATGTTGATTTTATATTAATGTTAATTTTAATTAATATTTATTATTTAATGTAAAATTGAATTATTTAATAATTGCATTAATAAATCATTTATTTAATAATTATCAACGATTGCTCCAAAATCAACAAAAATTTAAAACGTTTTTTTTTCGTTGAAAGAAGAAGGGAGAATATTAATATTTTTTTAGAATTTAAAAAAATGAAAATAATTAAAAGCAAGTTTTTTTTTTGTCAAACTAGATTTTAATATTTTAAATTTATAGAAATAATATAAAGAAACTTTTTAATGTCAATATTCAATTATAATATAAAGCACACGATGCTATATCTAAAAAGCAAAGTTAAAATTTTTCAAATCGAAGTTAATTTGTCTGTTCACAAATAGCATAATTGTCTTTGGAAACTAGATACGTTTTAAATTTAGAATCTCTTCCATGAATGAAGAGTTGTTGAGTATTTTCTCCCAGGAAGTTAAATATACAATAAAATCGAAATAATGCCTTATAAATTGTTGGTAATAGTTGAATTTTTTTTTATTTTTATTGACACAATTTAATTTTTTATTATTATTTTAACAAGGAAGCAGAATATTAACAAAATTCGAAAAAAAATTATTTGATTTTAATGGAAATTTTTTTATTTTAATTTTTTTTCAAAACAAAAAAAAAGAAGCTAAAGGAATTTTTGTAATTATTCCTTGGGGTTAAGAGACATTTTAAGAATTTTATTAATAGTGCCTTTAGTGCATGAAATTGGAATCTCCACTGTCTTCATTTTCGTTTTGCACTTCCAGACTCTTCGTCTGGCGACACTGAGAAATACTTTTACTAATACTGTAACTTTATCGTGGCCAAAATTAATTTTTGCTATATTATATATATTTACTTTCAACAAAAGAAAATGGTTTTAATTCAAATTCTTTGTAATTTTTCTCTTTATAAAAAATGTAATATTATTTAATATGTATAAAGTTCTCAGTGTCATTTTTGAGTATTGAAACCAGTAAAAATTAAAAAATAAAATGTTAAATTAAACAAAATATAAATATTATTATTTTTACATTCAATGTTTGTACTTTTGTTATTTTAATTATTTTTAATTTTTCTTTAATGGCTTGAAAAAAATGTATTACATAATTTTTTTTTAATTTGTTATTTTGCACATAATAATTTTTTCAAACGTTGAAAATTTTTTATTTACAAAATAAAAAATTTAGATTCGGTATTAAAAGTACACAAAATGTTAAAAAAAAAATATGTTAGATTGAATAAAATGTTATTTTTACATTTAATTTTTTTACTTTTGTTATATTTTAGTTATTTTTCATTTGTTTTTTTAATTAAAATTTTTTTTTCGATTTTTTGAACATTGACAATTTTTGCTTTTCTTTATGTTAATTTTAATTTTTTTATTTTTATTATGTTAATTTTTACATACATTTTTTTCAATTTGTTACTATTATTGGCACTATAGAAAACTATTTCTTTTGTATATAGAACATTTTTTTAAACATTAAAATCTTTTTTATACACAGAATAGCAAATTTAAAAAAAAAATTATACACAAAATATTTTCATAAAATAAATAAATAAAAAACCATTTTTGTGTAATAACTATTAAATTGAAGAAAAATTTAAGTAAAAAATAACAAAGTTAAATAAACAAAAATTGTGAATGTTCAAAATAACAAAAGTAAAAACATCGAATGTAAAAATAACAATATTTATGTTTTATTGTTAGGGTAAGTGCATCAATTACGGCGCGTTCATAAAAAATATCTATTATTACTATTATATTTAATATAACTGTTGCAAAATGATTGAAAAAAATTATTTTAATCTTTTTTAATTTAATTATTTGAGATTAAATTTTTTCCCTCGTCGTAATTGACTTTCTATTTCAAGTTTTGACTCGAAACGCGCCGTAATTAGTGCATTTACCCTATGTAACATTTTTTTTTTTTAATTTTGTGTAATTTTGATAACGTTTCTCATTTTTACAGAATGTGATACTAATTTTATAAATTAAAAATTAATTTTTTATTTCTTTATTAATTATTGAAAATATTAATTTTTTAAAATTGTAAATTGACAATGGTCAATGTATATATACATTGCTTATTGCAGGTGCAAATAATAAAAACAGTCACGACGCTTTAAGTTAACGGTTCAATAGTGGTTACTTAATAACAGTCATCCCTGATTATTAAGTAGCTCGTCTTATATATTATCGAGAGGTGAATTATTATTAGTCAATTTAGTCAACTATGGAGAGTCACTCGTTCAAGTTGACGGACGAAGAAAAGAAAAAAATTTACATTATATAAATGGCTTTCTGCTTTATTGGGGGCAAATAATATTTTGGGTAATGAGCATCTTTTCAAAATTTGGCTATTCTTACAGAAAAGAGAAGAGTCACGTGCCTGATCTTAGAGTGCAATTGGACGTTTTCGATGACCAACGTGAGACTGATGAAGAATTATCCAATCAGGGACCACCAGGAATCGATCTCTCATCACACGTCGATGTTTTTTACGCAATCCTTGGACAGGTCAGTTGTCACTTACCTAGCACACATTTTTCTTTTTAACATGTATAACTCTAAAAAAGACACTTTTTTCAATTATTTTTTTTCTCTTTTTTTTCTTTTAATACCTACTAATTGAGACTAGCTTTCATGATTTAAAAAAATTTTTTTAGCAAACTATTTACGAGATAAGAATTTTAATAAAATTTTATTTTTTAATGCTCATAACTTCCTTAAGAATGCATCAATTAAATTTTTTTTTAATTGTGTGTTTTTACATGAACTTTTCAAAAAATTCTAGAAAAATAATTTACTATACATTTTTTAATTTAAACATTAAAATTTTATTTTTAAAACTATGTATACCTTTCAATTGCCTGCTCCAATCGTGGACAAAACGATTTTTTTTCAATATTTTCGAAATTTTTAAAACTTTTTTCTATTTTTTAAAATTATAAAAATGAATTAAATATATCTTAAAAAAAAAAAAATTAATTAGTCACATTCCACCCTCCTCTATTCTCGATGTAATTTTTAAAAACGGTTTCGAAATTAATTTTACAAAATTTCTACACGGAATACATGTTAGTAGGATCTATAAAAATATTTTACAATTGTTGGACAAAATGCAACAAAGCAAAATTTTGATATCAGAAATACTAAATTTAAAAAAAAATTATATAAAATTTAGTAAAGTTATAAATATAATCAAAAATTTTTAATTAACTGAATTAACATTTAAAAAAAAATGTTATTTAATAGTACTTGAATTTAACTGAATTTTTATCTAAAAAAGAATTCCAATTAAACTTAATTTCCATTTAACAGAATTCTCATTCAACAGAATTTTGACTAAATCGAATTTTTTAACGTCAGAATTTTTATTTCACCCAAACTTCATTTGCTAGAATTTTCATTTGCACAAATTGTTATTTGATAGGAATTTTGAAAACGTCGAATTTTCATTTGACCAAATTGTAAATCAGGGTTACATTTTAATTTCTGCTCTAACTTTTCGTAAAAATATGTCAAAATGGTGCAATTTTAATTTCTGCTCTAGTTTTTCGTAAAAATATAACAAAAATCTCGCAACTTTAATTTTAGTTTTAGTTTTTCGTAAAAATAGGGCAAAAATTAAAATGGCGCCGTTTTTACTCTATTTCGACGAAAAACTAGAGCAAAAATTAAAATGCCGACGTTTTTATTTTAATTTTTAGTAAAAATAGATCAAAGATGGTGCCATTTTAATTTCTGCCATAGTTTTACGGAAAAAGAATAGTATAAATAAAAATGGTGCCTTTTTGGCTCTATTTTTTGTTAAAGTAGAGCATAAATTAAAATTGTGCCGTTTTTGCTCTATTCTTCCGTAAAAATAAGGCTGAAATTAAGATGGCGCTGTTTTTGCTCTATTTTTACGAAAAACTATAGCAGAAATTAAAATGCCGACGTTTTTATTTTAATTTTCAGTAAAAAAAGGACAAAAATGGTGCCATTTTAATTTCTGTCAGAATTTAACGAAAAATATGGTTATCACGCAAAAGGATTTTCTTTTATTTTAAGAGCATTATTCTCTATTTAAAAATATTCCTCTTAAAATAAGAGGGAAATACTCCCCGATGAAGAGTAATGTTCTTGATTCAAGAGGAGTTTGGCAAGAGTAATTTTCCTCTTTTTTGGTGATATACTGCGTGATACTTAAATTGACTAGAAAATCATTTTTGTCCCTGATTTTTAGTGTTTTTTTTAATTTTTAGAATAAATTTTGAAATTTTTAATCCAGATCGCAGACACACCACAGGAAATACCATTTCTAAGTATTCTTCAACATTTATTGCGACTCGATCCTAAGGAAGCTGCAAGCGATCTTGCTTGGGATACCGCCGAAACGTTGGTCCATCGAGCAACACTTTTGGAGAATAGAGACGATGCTACTAAACTCCTGAGGTCACCTAGTCTTCAAGTAAGAACAATTTTTTAAATTATTATTTTATAAAAAATTAGTTTATTACATTTTTTATTTTTTGAAGTTTAAAAACGACAATGTCAAAATTTTTTTTTTAATGTTTTAAGCAATGTTCAGACATAAATTCGATTTTATTTATAAAGATTATATTTTATTATATTTAATATTTATTTTATGCTGTATTATATATATATATATATATATATCTAGCGTTCATGTCATAAAATTGAGCAACAATAATTAGTAATGGGCAATTATTTAAGTATCTTGACTTTAACTGAAACTAAGTGTACACATGATCAGTAAGATGCAATCAATTAACGAAAAGAAAAACAGAACACTCATTTACTTAATTTCGATCGTAAAATGTCGGAATCTTGCTTAAAGTTGCTGCAAAACCTTTCATTCCATACAAGACTGAAGCAATGAAAAAAAGAAATATATATATATATACAGTTGAGTCATTTTTACGTGTAAACCTTGAGCGCTTCCTTTGAAGGAAATTAAGGAAGAGCGCCATGAATTTCTTCAATTTGGTAAAAACTTCTTTTATATATAAATAAAATTGTGTTGCACTGATTTTTCTCCTAATGAGTATAGCAAAATTAAGTCTTATTTGCACTTTTATCTCCATCTGTATCTCCAATATAATGTATTATATATTTCAACTCAAAAAAAAAATTCATGTAATTTTTTTATCCATATCAGTAAAATCTGAACATTGCTTGAAAATTTCAATTTACAATAATTGAACATAAAGGAATCGAAAAATAAACAAATTTCATCTACTTTCTTGTAAAATACGAATTATAAATATGGATTGAAATTTTGTGTAGATGTAAAATTAAATAATTTCTACAAAACAGAATTTTTTAAAAATATTCAGAAACGATTTTGGGTGAAATATATTATAATGATGAAAAAATAATAAAGAGTAACCTATAAAGCTTTTCCCGGTCTGAGAGACCGCTACAACAATTTAAAAGTTAATTACTATACATTGTGATTTTTATTTTTTTTTTTGCAGACAAATTTGTGTTGCCATTGTCGAGTGGCTGATCAGACTTGCAATACAAATAGGAAGGCCTCGGTACCAACGAGTCCGCCACCTCCACCTCCTGCACCACCGGTACCAATTGCACCTCCACCGCCGCCAAGTCCTCCCATAAGTTTCGTGTTACCTCCCCCACCACCGCCGCCTCTCTTCATTCCAATAGCTCCTCCAGATGTCCCCATGGAGCCACCTCTTCCACCGCCCCTTCATGTTCCAACTGTTGCAAGGGCCCCAACTCCTGAACCACCCAGCAATAATGCGAAACTTCTGCCCCAACAGGAAATTCCCACCCCCAAGACGAAAATGAAGACCATCAATTGGAATAAAATACCCAATCACAAGGTTAGATTATTTACTTGACTTTGTCTTATTCTTTAACTTTTAACCTATCCTCCACCTTCTCTCATTTCGTAAACATTGTTTTAACTTCTTTTTTGTTGACATCTATTTCACTTTATTGGAAATCTTCTTCTCCTACCCTTTTTTTCTATACTCACTGTTACTTAAGAGACTATTACTTATTAACCCTCTTCCTGTCCTTCTTCTTCTTCTTTTTAAATGACTTGAGGCACAGCCAACTGTCAGAACAATAAACTTAAAAGACGAAAAAGTTCTAGAATACACTATATGCTACACTGTTGGTAATACAGGTTAGACAACAGCAAAGTAAATCCAGCTTATAGGAAACTGGAGATTGAATCAAATATATTGTTCGCTTGGAAACGGAAAAGTCGAGTACAAGGAAAATAAATTTTCCATACGTTGAATTCATTCATGAATCATAATAAATTCCCATGAGAAGAATACATGCGAGAATTGAATTCAAAGCGTATAGGGCATATATTGATATAATTGATCTCAATAACAATTTCTAACTTTCTATCAGAAAAATAAAACAATGGAAGATTAAGGTAAAACTACTGAAGTCGAGCTCCCTCTGGGTAAAACAGTGAGACACAAACTCAGATTGAGTGAGAAACATCAATTGTACTTGTAAGGCGGGAAAATGTCAACACCGGGTTTCAAACATCTTAAATATACTTACACCTTGAACAAGGGGTATACAGTTAAGATATTAAACTGTCGAAGACCACAACACTGCAAGGTGACACCGCAGATATACAAAAGATGTTTACATAGTTCCACAAAGCATTATAAACAGCAGAGGTCACAGAACGATAACAGTGAGTCACTTCAAACTCAGATAAAACCAGTAAAATTCATGAAAAGTCACACGGAACAGAATAAAATAATAAAATGGGTCCTCAGGGTGACACAAAAAATTTTTATATTTCACAAAAAGGTTACGATGGGCGAGGGTAGAAGTCACACTCGCTTATAGAACAAAATTCAGAAAAATCAGGATTAGAACAAACTTCGAAGAACACCTCGGAGAGCACGTGGTAGAACGAACGGTTTTAAAAAAAGGTTATAAAGTTGCTTTCAAAAGCAGAACAAATCATATGTATTCACAGCACAGAACTTGGCTAAAAATGAACTAAAACTTGTTTGAACAAATCAAAGGTAGAACAAAGTCTAATGCATGGAGTGCCGGAACATATTCCGTCCGGTCACTACCGCTGCCAAGTTAGAACTCCCTCTTCCTGTCCTAGTGACCGTTATCGACAAAAAAACGACAATTCGGTCGCCTGGTGGGGACTATGGGAAATACATTCTATAGCGCTGGGGTGCTATTCTCGAAATGAGTTCCGTGCACGAATCGAAGACTTTCGAATAACTTTGTCGAAAACTGTATTCTCGAACTGTTCACTAGGCGTTCATAGACGAAACGATTCGAGTGAAATACAACGAGTGGTCTAAACCACTCGAAGCAACAGTTTCGTGTTCGAATTTTGGTACTGCTCATGCGCAGTAGTATTATTTAATAATATTATGTACACATATTAAAAGGGATTTAAAGTTTCGAATTGTAATCAATTATAGAGTTTCATTCATAATAATAATAATAATAATAATAATAATAATAATAATAATAATAATAATAATAATAATAATAATAATAATGATGCAGTCAATAAATATTTCTTATATCATAAGTAATTACATTGGTTCAAAAAAATTACACTGGAAAGTCACTAGAAATAAACGACGGCAACACTGTACAACCTATTCGTCTACGAACGATCGTCGAACGAAGTTTCGAATGGTGCTCGAGAATACGGTTGTTGCTTCGTGCACGAAACTTACCCATCGAATTTGCTCGCATACGAACAATATTCGAATGATTTCGAGAATAGGACCCCTGGAGTGGAGATAACCCAGGAGAGGGATAAGGGACATTTATATCATTCATTCCATCTTATCACTTAAAATCCATCTCTTTTCCACCTTCTTTCTTCTCTTCCTTCTTTAACCTCTTAAATTACTCCAATTCTTCTCTACCTTAATTTACCTTTCTTCCTAAATTTGTATCTACTATTTTTTCGCTTTCGTAATTAACATCTCCATTTCCTTTACTTATCTATACTCTTCTTACCATCATAATTTCCCACTAAATCGTTTGTCCTTGTATATTACACCATATTTTGTCCAGCTTAATTTACTCTCATCCGCCTCTTCCTCCTTATATTTATATCTTCCACGTTTTTTGGTTAAATTATAGATTGCTGAAAATTAATTGCTCTACACACTGCTCTCTCTTTTCCTCTTTTCACATTACTATATTTATTTTGTAACGGAAAATATTATTTTAAAAATATTAAACAAAATTTTTCCTATAGTCGACTAAAATTAGAACATTGGGGAGAATTTTGTTAAGGGTTGATCCCCACAGTCAGATAACCCACATAAATTATTTTGGCCACGAAAAAGAGCGCCGTCTGCAGTTGGACCCCGAGAACTAATACTCCCACTTTGACAATTTCTCCTCCGTTCCTTCTTTCTTTTGGGGAAAGGAGGTGGAGAAGGAGGAAGAAATTGACAAAATGGGGGTATTAGTTCTTGGGATCCAACTACAGATGGCGCTTTTTTCATGGTCAAAATAATGTATGGGAGTGATCGTACGTTAGATGGAAAAATCATTCCTGGATCAACCATTGCATAGAGTGTCGATGATCGATAATTCTATATTTAATATTACAAAATTGTGTGCGTGTTGCGGAGGTACCTTATCGTTTAGATAGAGAATTTGACGACGTATAATTTAAGTAAATTTCCGATTATTAAAACCAATTGTCGACAAATCTTAGTTTTTAACCTATGATGAGTCCGAAATAATTCTTAGTTTGTTTATAAGAAATTCGATAACAGTCCGGTCTTAATCTGATAGAACATCTTAATCCGAAATGAGTCCGGAAAAATTCGGAATTTATATGTACAATATTTTTCTTCAAACTGCCACTGATGATTATGTACATAATATAAAGATCCACATAAAGATTTCAGATTATTATGGACTCATGTCGGATTTAGTTTTATCACAATACTTAATCCTAATTGTTCCGTACTGTTTGTAGATAGTTTATATATACGAATTCTGGATTATTCTTGACTCATTTTAGATTGTTTTTTGATCTAACTAAAATTAAATTGTTGCGGGCTAATTACGGATTTATTTCATGTCAATTTCGGACTAATTTCGGATTTATCTTTTCATCCGGACTGATTGCTGATTAATACGAATCTTTTTCGTACAATTTATTAACAAAGCCGGACTGATTTGAATGTATTTAATCTGAAATCTGTCCGAAATTTTAACCATGGGGGTTTCAATATTGTCTATAACGTCAAAGTTTTGAGGAAAGTGGGGGTAAAGAGAAAAATATTAGTAAAAACCTGTTTCTTGTGGTCTTTAGACACATTTTTCTCAAAATTCTCTATTTTTTGGTTTTGCGTATATGGGTGATAAATTATACGATTAAAGTTTTAATTTAAGACTTTATGGAAATCTTTAACACGTTAGGTTAAAAGGAAAAAAACGTCCTGAAAATCTCCAAAAACATGTTTTTGTGGTCTACCCCCACTTTTTTCAAAACCCTGACGTGCGTATTAGACGATTTTGGGTATGGAATCGTGTTCAGCGGAAAAAAATACATTGAAAACAACTCGGATATTGAAAATAATAAAATCTATGCAGGCCTGTATCATTCAGCTAATTAGGTTCGATTCTTTTGTTTTCCTATTATAATTCTTAATTAAACCAACACATTTTAAATAGGTCATTGGAAAACGCAATATTTGGTCTTTGGTGGCAAACGAGCATCAAAATTCTCCAATGGCCGATCTTGATTGGGCGGAAATGGAGGGACTTTTTTGTCAACAAGTTCCACCAATTTTGCCACCCACTACCTGCTCTTCAAATTTTGGTCCGGGAATCGATGCTGAAAGACGTCGTCGTGAACCGACCGAGGTCAGTTGAATTAAATATTTTTATTTACATAATTTGCATTAAAAACTTTTTTTTTAATATTTTAAAAAATTACATTTTTATTTAAAAATTTTCTTTACATATATATATTTATTTTTGATTTAAATTTCATTTCCTTTCACTATAGATTGCACTTCTTGATGGAAAAAGAAGCTTAAACGTGAATATTTTCCTTAAGCAATTTAGAAGGTAAGATTCATATTTATTTGTATGTCAAAAAAAAAATATTTTCTCTGAAAATTATTAATGTTTTTTTTTATTCGTCAAGTTCCAATGAAGATATAATTCAATTAATAAAAGATGGTGGTCATGATGATATTGGGGCAGAAAAACTTCGTGGATTATTGAAAATATTGCCGGAAGTCGATGAGCTCGAAATGCTTAAAAGTTTTGACGGCGATAAGTCGAAACTTGGCAATGCTGAGAAATTTTTCCTGCAACTCATTCAGGTGCCAAAGTAAGTGAATCTTATTAATTAATTATTACTTGATTTGAATTTCCTATTTTGAGAACTCAGAAATTCTAACGAGTCTTCAATGTATGTGTTATGCTTAATGGCCAAAAACACTCACTGAGAAAAAAAGGGGCCACATTGCTTTCTTATTGGAGCCTCCATCGATTTTGATAAGGAGATCTTCAAGCCACTCTCGTATGGCCGACGTCCGGGTTGACTTCATTGCGAGCTTACCCAAAACATCAGCATACGATAATCCTCGAGCGACTCAAAATGTTGTCTTGATGTCCTTACCTGGAGGTACTTCCTCCTCCTTATTTTTGATTACTACAAAGGATCTCTTGCCGTTTCCTACCCTCTGGGACTGCGCGCCTTAGCGCAGAACAGTATGCGATCCTATCTCGAAACTCTGTTTCTGCGATTTTCATCTATGAAGCCAAGACCGCATAAGACGATCATCAACATTATCCCCTTCTTTATTGGCTGTGTAAACATCGGTAGGCGAATAATCCCAACGTTTTCTACTGTTTGTCTTAATACGCGACTAATAAGAAGGAAGGAGCGGCCAGGTTCAAGGCTTAGATAGAATCCTTAAACTGGCACTCGTACCTGAGTCTAATGGTACCACGGTGATCAGGTGCCCGGGAAGCTTTCCTTGCTTGAGCGAAGAAAGAGTTCTGCCTGGTCATTTGGTGTTGGACTCGTGGGGGCTTTGGTTAAAAACTCACATAGCTAAGAGCAAGACGATTAAGAAGAAACTGATCCAAAAGTGATTAGTCTTCTTTGAAACTGTCGATGTGTGATTTGCGGTATAAAAACTCGGGCAAGAACCAGCATAGTTCCTAAGGACAGAAAAATCCCGCCCTAAGTCAAGGGTCTGTAGTGTTCCATCTAATCTTACGGAAAACGATCGCTTTAAATTAAAGTGAGAGTCAGTGCTGTAGTACAAAGACTGTTGAACGAATGTTTGAACGACGATACACAGTGAGAGTAAAGAATCAATTTGCGAATTACTGGAAAAGAGATAAGTTGAACGAGGACTACAGTCCATAGGAGTCATACCGTTGGTAAGCTAATAGGCAAGGTACAACGGACCCCATCTAACTTCTTTTTAGAAGGTGTTTCAAATAGATTACTCAATTCCCGCTGTCCCCTTGTTTATGCTTCTTCTTTGCCTTGTTGATTATGGCTAGAAGGGTTATTAACCCGGACTGAATCATTCAGTTAACGTTCCCCTGTACGTCGCAATACCTCAGCATCTTCTGGACCTTATTTTCGATTCTTTGTAGCATCTCTGCCTCAACTTCTCGAATTGTTCGTCGATGTCCTCCGCATCTATATCCGAAGGTATCATGATAGCATCACTTATGCTGCTGTGCTAACACTGAGAAGGCTCAATGTACTTCCAGTCCTTTTTAATTCACTTCCTCCTTCCACGATAATCTGGATCTAATCTATTCACGATTTCCCATGTTACTGACAGAAACTGAACTTCCCTTGTTGACTCTGGCTTCAAAATAGGGTACCTGTAGCCGACTGTATGTCGTAAAAGGCGACTAGAAAGAGCACAGAGGGTCGTACTCTTCTGGTTAAGTACCGCTTTGACGGAGACGCTCAATTAGGAGAAATTAATGATTCGTGAACGCATGACGCCTGCACATGATGTTAACCTGCTTGAAATGGGACCCATCATGTGTAAAACAACCGTGAATGACTGGTCAAGAATTTGTCTTCTTTTAATCTATCGCATGTCGAACCCACAATATTGGAACCAACATTGCAATTAATATACCTAATGTTGACACAGAATATGCAGCTCCTAGAAATACTTTAGCTGTTTTTATGATAATCAATTCATTACAAATTTAATAATTAGAAAAGCGTTATCAACTGATTGTATGTTCGTGATAAGTTCAGAATTATTAGCAGCAACTTTATTAAATTCCTAGGTGTATCCTCAACATCAGTGATTCTTTGATCAGCTTCTATGCTGACGTCTGGTAGCAAGCAAGAATTTATAAGTTTCTTCTATAAGAGATATTGTAATGACAAAAGATGGAAGTGTCGGTCAATGAATATAAAATGTAATTTAAAATGACACAGCAACAATTCTCGCAAAAATAATTAATTATTTAATTTTGGCCTCTAAATAAATTTCTTTAATTTTTCACATTTATTCCACGTTCTGTGAATTTTTGCATCTGCTATGACCCGAATTTTGCGTTGAGACAGAATTTAAGGACCCATAACGTGTCGTGGCCAATTTTATTTGCTCAGTGACATGAAAATGTTCTCTTTTTGGAAAATCGCCCACATGAAAATTCAAAATTTATATTGAATTTTTTATAAAAATGCATTTAGTTTATTTTTAGTAATATATTTTTTATTATTAATTTATGATAGCTATAAATTACGAATCGAGTGTATGTTACTCAAAGAAGAATTTGCTGCAAATATGGGATACTTGGAACCCAGCATCAATTCGATGATTCTCGCTGGCGAGGATCTTATGACGAATAAACCTCTTCAAGAAGTACTTTACATGGTTTTGGTCGCTGGAAATTTTTTGAATTCCGTAAGAAAAGTGACAATCAGTTTATAAAAAAAATTACCATTTTGAAAAACCATTTTTTTAATATAATTTTAAAATTATTAATATAATTACTATTAAGGGATTTATATATGTATTTTTATAAATATATATAATATTATTTTAGGGAGGATATGCGGGAAATGCAGCAGGGGTAAAATTATCGTCACTACAAAAATTGACGGAAATTCGTGCCAATAAACCAGGAATGAATCTCATTCATTATGTCGCTATGGTAAAATTAATTAATATTTTTATTTTTAGGAAAGTTGTTACTTTTTCAAATAATTTATTCTTCATTAAAAAAATACTATATACACTACATGAAAAATATCTTTGTGTTGCAGCAAGCTGAGAGAAAGAGAAAGGACTTGCTCAATTTTGCACGAGGAATGACAACTTTAGATTCAGCTACAAAGTAATTTGCTCTTTTCATTAGCTTAAATAAATTTTTATCTATAATTTTTGCACTGACATTAGAAATATTTTTTAATGACACACACTAAATTATATTTTTAAAATTAATTTTTTTTTTAAATAAATTATTTGTAGAACCACTGTCGAACAACTTAACAATGAATTCAATTGTCTTGATACAAAGATCAAGAAAATCAAAAGCCAAATACAGTTGTCTTCAACGGAAGCTGATATTCAGGAACAAATGGCCCAATTTTTACAGGTGATTTTTTCGTTTCAAAGAGGAATAACAGAGAAATTATAAAATTTAAGACTCGCAAACATTAAGAAATTTAAATTTTCAGATGGCAGAACAAGAAATGGATCAATTAAAGAGAGACATGGAAGAATTGGAGGGAGTGAGAAAATCACTCGCTGAATTCTTTTGCGAGGATTCAAATACATTTAAAATTGAAGAATGTTTTCGTGTCTTTCATCATTTTTGCCAAAAGTTCAATCAAGCAATTGCTGAAAATGAACGGCGAAAAATTCAAGAGGAACAAGTACAGGCCAGACGGAAACAGAGAGAAGAACAATTACTCGCAAAAAAGAGACTCCGTAAGTTAATTTTATTTATTTTTTGTTATAAGGGAAGTGAAAAAATATGTGTAACCTTTGGAAATCTGCGTTTGAGAAAGATATGTTTTAGATAAGAGTATTCTTCCTCCTATGATACTATTGTCATAGACATTTTATTAAATTAATTTAGGCATAGCCTAGTCCTAATTCTTGTGTGACTTTTTTGATCCTCCATGGCAAAAATTGCTTGTCCTGATGAGATTCTAAATAAAGGTCTTAGCTATCTAAAATCTCGCAGATAGAAGCCTATCCATTACGTTTGGTTTGGTGACAACATCTGTAATCTTTATTCTTCAGCGGTTGGATCCTAAGACTATTATTTTTCTGCATCCTGGCTTCCCGAGTTTCTTTTCCAGCAATTGTAGAACTTCTTCTTCATGAGAAAGGCAATTCAAGTCGAGGATTTCAAATGTGACCTTCGATTTACCATCTGTACCATACCCATGTCCTAGACCACCTTGGCAACTTCTGCAGTAATTTTAATCAGAAGATCTCCTCTTCTGTTAGGCCTCGCTCCCATCACTCTCGTGTGGTTGACATCATTACGAAGGTTACCCAAATCATCAACATACGACAATCCTAGACCGACTTGGATAATCATCGTTGATCCCCTTGTCTCCTGTGTTTTCGAATTTTGACGCTAAAGCTTCGGTACATTTCGTTGCCTTGATGTCCTTCTTTCCTGAAGATGCTTCCTCCCTCTTTTCTTTATTTGCCTTCGTCGTACTTCTACTACTGGGGCATCTATACCGTTACTTAGCCTCTAGGACGCTTCACCTCAGAGCGCGAGACTGGAAGCAATACTTCCTTCCTTGAAGGATAACACAGCCACACAAAAAAAAAAGTACCCGGGCCGGGAAATGAGACCATCATTTCTTGATGTATTTTGATGCGCTGAACACGAATCTGAAGTCCGTTTAGCTCCATCACGTCAGGATTTTGACATAACCTCAAAAAACATAGCTGATTTTATATGACAGGAGAAATTTTTTAAATAATGGCAGATTTGCTTGAATCTTGTTACTCGGGGGTTTTTGGGGTCGCTGATTACGAATTTAACGTCAGATTTAATAAATTCAAAATGGCGGATCCAATATGGCGGACGAATTTTTAAAAAGTAGTTGGATTTTTACGAAAATTGGTATCTAGGGGTTTTGGGAGTCGCTGATTACAAATTTATCGTCAGATTATACAAATTCAAAATGGCGGATCCAATATGGCGGACAAATTTTTAAAAAGTAGTTGGATTTTTACAAAAATTGGTATCATGGGGTTTTTTGGAGTCGCTGATTACGAATTTAACGTCAGATTATTCAAATGTAAAATGGCAGATATAGTACGGTGGTCAAATATCTTTATGTTTCTACATGTGTCTGCATCCAGGGTACCTCCACGCGGTGACGGTGGACAACGGAGTTTGTCCGCTATCCGGCTAAGTCCCTGGATAATGGCTTTGATGCCGTCATGGCAGACACACGTAGGAAACGTATTACGATGCAGGGACTCGGAACCCCAGTATCGGCCAAGTTACATAAAAATTCAACTATTTTTTAAAAACTCGTTTGCCATATTGGATCCGCCATTTTGAATTTGAATAATCTGACGATAAATTTGTAATCAGCGACTCCCAAAACCCCTAGATACCAATTTTCGTAAAAATCCAACTACTTTTTAAAAATTCGTCCGCCATATTGAATCCGCCATTTTGAATTTTATAAATCTGACGTTAAATTCGTAATCAGCGACCCCAAAAACCCCCGAGTAACAAGATTCAAACAAATCTGCCATTATTTAAAAAATTTCTCCTGTCATTTAAAATCAGCTATGTTTTTTGAGGTTATGTCAAAATCCTGACGTGATGGAGCTAAACGGACTTCAGATTCGTGTTCAGCGCATCAAAATACATCAAGAAATGGTGGTCTCATTCCCCGGCCCGGGTACTTTTTTTTTTTGTGTGGCTGTGTAATCAACCCATTCCCCCTTGGTAACTTTCGCGGTGAAAGCCTCTTTGTTGGAATTACCTCCTATTTTAATATTAGGAGTCTGGTTGACCTGCTAAAAACCACACTCTTTGGCCGGACTAATCTTTACACTACAACTGCGAGCTTCATCCCTATCTTGTTGGGTCCTAGGGTCGTCACCTTCCTGCTTCCTGGCTTTTGGAGTACCTTTGTTGCACTTCTTCTTCCTGGATAAGGCAATCCAAGTCGCAAATCTCAAGCGTAACTTTTCTATTCACAGACTGTACCTTCTTCATACTTCCTACCGCCTTGGCAACATTTGCGGTGAAAGCCTACTTATTGGATTCGTCTGTGATTCTTATAAGGAGATCTCCGTTTTTAATAGGCCTAACACCTACTACTCTCGTGTGTCTGACTTCCGGATTTATCTCCTTGCGAAGTTTGCTCCGAACGTCAGCATACGACTTTCCACCAGCAACTCGGACGACCCTGGTCGGTCCTCTTGTCTCCGTTTTTCTTATCTCTGACTCTTTGGCTTTGGAACTTCCGTTGCCATTTTCTCCGCTTTCATGGGAGACAAATCCTCCAATTTTCTTGGAAGTTTCCGGGCATCATTGATAACATGCCTCAGATGTCGCCTAAAATGACGCTCTCATCTTTTTTTCCTCTCTTCGCGGTTGTCCTCTGCGTTACCGAAAGTCGTTCCTAAGGCGTAATCCGACTAATCAGCCTTTTCATGAATAGTCTTTACTTCACTTAAGAGGACCTGGATGATTTTGAGACCATCCTTCACCATACTATTTACATTCCTCTGAATGTCGCAAGACCTCAGCATCTTTTCAACCTCCTCCTCAATCTTAATGAGACACTCCGTCTCCTCCTTTTAAGCTTTAGACAGGTTTCTCAATCTTCGAGGATCGCCTCATCATCCACCTCAGAGTGAATCGGGCTGAAGGTGGACCTTCTGCTGTTGGCACTCGACATACTCACAATCAGAAGGCTCTACGCGTTGCCCTTCCTACATTTACATCCTACGTTAGACGGAGTCAAACTTTTCTCGCAGCTGACACTGGAAACACTTAAAGCGCTTCTTCAACTTATTTAGAATTTTCGATATACTGCCTTTTAAAGTTTGGTTAAAAGATATGAATAAAATTAAATTATTTCATAAAGGTAATTTAAATTCTAAAAAGAAATTTTTTTATCATTTTTAGTTTACAATCAAGTGGAGACTCCAGGCTCAGAATCAGAATATAATCTAATAGATTATGGAATTTTCGACATTGCGATGCCGCAAAAATATAGTCGCAGTGATCCCAAGGTATTGTTTGAATTCAACTTTCATTTAATTCAATTTATTGACAAATTAAGTGAAGTTGTTTTATTGAAATTAATTTTTTGTTCTTTTATTCAAGATCAAAAGACTGCAAAATGGAGTGGTGACGTCAGACGAAGATATTTCTACCACTGGATCACCGAATATAAGAAGAAGATTGGGTTCTTGTTCCGGTGGTCCAGATCAGCTATCTACCAAAGAAGACACCTACTCTCCTGGTAAGTTAATTCAAAATAAACGAAACAGTATTGTCTTAAAAATAAAAAAAACTTAGAATTTGAATAGATTTCTTTGAAAACTTCATAATTCAAAGTTTTCTTGGTAAAAAATTTTCAGATTTTCAAAATTTAAAATATTGAATCAAATCGTGGTATTCTGAGGTCGCTGATTAAAAATCCAATATCTACTTTTCAAAACTAAGGGGTCGTCCACATATTACGTAACGCTTTTTTGGCAATTTTAGACCCCCCTCCCCCCTCGTAACACTACCGTAACAGTAGATAAAGACCCCCCCTCCCCCACTTTTGTTACGTAACATTTTGATTTTTTTAAAATGATTATAATTTATCAATTAAACGACAACGAAATATTTTCTTATATTTTCAAGTTTAAAAAATACAATGCGATTGTTTAAAAAAAATATTGTTGATAACACCGTTTTCTCAGACTCGGTCGCATGTTTGAATTTTTTCGAATATTTTCTATAAATGTGGTTAAAAAAAACTTGGTCCGTTAACATCTTCAAAACATACAATTAAATCAAATTGTTATATCATTAATCGTGAAAAATTAATATTTAACGTTGCATTTCATATATAAATATAAGTTAATATAATTGAAAAATATTTTAAGCGCAAATTCAAGCATCAAACACTGAACAAGCATTTCAGAAGAAAAACAAAACAGTAAACAATATAAAATTCGTTTATACTAACGTGCAATAAATATTAACACCACACACATAGCAAATTTGAGATTTTTTTCACCTCGTTTTATTTTGGATGTCTATTGCGACCAACTAGAATTTTATTTCGTAAACACAGAACTAAAGGTATGACCATATCGTTTCTGTTATAAATAAGGTTAAGTTCACTTGTCTGTCACTTGTTCATGATCATAGTCTCAGAGTGCAGTCGCTCGTGCGTTCTTGATTTTTAAAGCAGAGAGACTGCACCCTGAGATAAGAAAATAAACTACCAATCGGTGTATCACTTGTAGAAAGAATTAACAGAGAATACCCGCCAAAATTTATGCTAGTGAAAATAGTTTCATTATTACTTCATGTGATTATTTTTTTCATTCAATAAATAATTTTTTAATTTGTTACGTAACACTATACTTCGACCCCCCTCTCCCCCATCGTAACAAGACCATAACAGTGTCTGGTAACCCTCCCTTCCCCCTTAAACGTTACGTAATATATAGACGGCCCCTAAAAATGGCGGATCCAATATGGCGATATGGATTTTTTTAAAACAAATTTAATATGGCTGACGTTTGTTAGTTTTTTAAAACAATTTGAAATGGAAAAATTTTTAAAAATTAATTGAAATCACTCGAAACTTATTTCTCAGGAGTGTTTCTTGGTTCTTGATTACGAATTTAATGTCAAATTCATAATCAGTGATCTAAATTTTAAAAAAAAATTTCAATGTAAATTAATTATAAATTAGAAAATAAATTTTGGAATTTTCTGAAAATATTTAATATTTTTAGATATTACACCAAATGGTACTCTTCGTCGACGAAGAAGTCGTATTCCTTGCGAAGATGATGATGGAAATTTAATGGACTTTTTAAGAACAACTGGTCAAGATAATAACAGGGAAAGAAAATCTTGGGGTAGTTTGGGTAAATAATTTTACATTTTTGCATAAATTATTTACTTTTTATTTTCTGTATTAATTTTTTTTTTATATTAAATTTTTTTATTTCTGTGTGTACTCTTTTTATATTATATTGTCATATTTATAATAATTGAAATTCTAATAATTTCCATTAATTGTCAGATCGATCTTGGGCTAAGAGAGCAAGGGGTCAACCTCGAAGAGGTGATCTATTAAATGCAGATTTCTCAGGCGACAGGGAAAGACCAAATTCACCGTCACCTCTTGTCGAAACTAAACCATTTTTACAAGAGGAAGAAGCAAAACCCACTGGGTAATTATTAAAAACAAGTTTTTTTTTGGTAAAAAATGAATTATTTTACAATTTTGTCAATATTAACAGCTTTAGATATTATTTTAATTGTTTATTTATAAAAATGAATTATTTTAATGCATTTTGCAATATTTATTATTTTACCTTTTTGTTACCATTTTTAGTTATCATTCACGACAAATTTTGTTATTCTTTTGATATTTTTTAACATTATTTAAAATTTTTTTTGTACCACATTTTGACATTTAATTGCAGAACTTTTAATTTAATTAAATAAATTATTTGAATAAATTAACAGAAAAGCATGGAGGCAAAAAATTGAGGCTTGGCTTTCGGAAAACGAAAAAGAGGAAAGAGCTGGTGAAGAGCTTCAACGAAAAGCAAAACAATTGCAGGCCAATCGCAGATCGTTCGAAGATTCAGGTATTTTTTTTTTTAATTATTATAAATTTAAAAAAAACTTTATTAAAAATAATTTCTTTAACACAAAAACATTTAAATATCAAAATTCATTTAAAAGTTTTATTTTAAATCAAAATTATTAACAAATTTTTGTAAAAGAAAAATAAATATAAATATAAAAGTAGTAAAATTAATAAATCTGAAAATAATATTAATGATAATATTAATAATAATGATATTAATAAATATTGTAAAAGAATAAAGTTTTAACTTTTTCTTTTAAATTAAAATTTTTTTATATAATAAAAAAATGAAATATTTTTCTTTTTAGAGAGCGAAGGGAAAAATTCATTAGCAAACATTCCGAATGAGGAGAATTTGCATGAAAGATACTGTAAAACTGACGTTTATGATTGGCGTCCATCTGTCGAGAAAACGGATGTCATGCGAACCATGGAAGCTATAGAGGGTGAAAAAAAAATTTTTAATTTTTAAGTAATTTATGAGCTAGAGTTATAAAAATAAATAATTTATATATAAAATTAAAATTTTTGAATTGATTTAAAATTACAAATTTTGTTAAACTTTAACGTCTTATAATTAAAAATATTACAATATTTAAAAATAAATAATAATAATTAATTACAATGAAAACATAATATGTACTAAGTGATTATTAGTTTTAATTTATAATGAAAAATTTTCTGTTTAGAAGCTCAACCACTTTCTTCACAAAAGGACAAGTCGGCTTGGAGGAAATCGAGTCTCAACGTTCCAAACAGTATGGAAGAAACTGATCCTAGATATTCACGAAGGATTCGATCACGTTTAAGTACAGAAAATATGATGGGCTCAAGTACTTTACAGGTAAAATTAATTTAAAAACAAAATTATTTCCAAAATTATCTCTTAAATTGTTTCTGTTTTCTTGAAATCATTCAAGTTTTATTTTTTACTATATTATTGTTTAATTTAACACTTTCACAAGATTAAATTAGTTTTTACGATAAACTACCCAGTGGGTAGCAAGATGTCTTTAGGATGACTTTAGAACGTTCCAAATTGTCCTAGAACATTGCGTCAATGTTCCGAAGACATAAAAAAGACGACTTAAATACACCCAAAGTAGGTAAGCTTGCAGTAACCTTGAGGTAACCTTCAAATGTCTCACCTAACCCAAACTTGCATAGTAAGCTTACCGCAAGATTGCACTGTAAGGTTACTGCAAGATTACACAATAAGATTATCGCAAGATTTCTCAGTAAGCTTGCATGGTAAGCTTGTAGCAATGTTGCTAAATAACCTTGCTTTGAACCTAAAATTTTTTTTTAATACTTTGTATAATTTATATAATTTTATATATTATAAATTTATACAGATATAGAATATATATAAATTTAATCTTTTGACAATGCGTAAAATGACATTTAAGAAAAGAGAAAATAAATTGTATCAAAAACTTTTTTTAATTCCTATATTTGTAAAAATATAATGAGTCAACCGTGAGTAAAAATTTTCTACATTTTTGGAAAAATAAAAGCAATTGTAAAAATCTGTAGCTTACAACGAATCAAAAAAACATTTTAAACCGTTTGTCAAAATTAAAATTTTGTATAATTTTTTTTAATAATAACAAATTTTTGCATAATTTTTCAAAAAAATTAATATAACTCAAATTTCGTTTGCTAGAAATTATCGGCAATTTTTTTGGTAGTCAATGAATATCCATTCTTTTAAATCAATTGAAAAAAAAAATTTCAAAAATTTTTAATTTTTAATAACGATTTTATAAACAATTTGTATTTTTTTATACTTTCTATAGCAAGGATTATAATGAAATTTCGAGGGGGAATTTACTAGTTAAAAACGTGTAGACTTGACTACCGGTATTACACCTCATATTACCCTTATTACTAAGTTATTACACGTTATTACAGAGATATTACAGATTTTTTTGCGTTATTACAGCACCGTAATAACGCATTATTACACGGTATTACACGTTATTACACAAGTATTACAGGAAGAGTGTACACTTGACTACCTGAGTAAATTCCCCCTCGTGAAATTTATATGTAACATACCTTGGACTCTTGTCTTTATATTCCTGAAAAAAAAATTTTATTTCCGAATATAACCGGAGATTTTGAATTTTTTTGCGCCGTATACCGCCCGCCAAAGTGGTTTGAAATGAAAAAGTAGGGTTCAAAAAAGTCTAGAACCAATACATCTCAACCGAGTTTGGAATTTTTTTTTAAAATAATTTATATTAAATTTTTTTTTATTGTTAGGGACTTAAATTTACTCCACTGGATCTCTGAATTGTAGAATATTGATATAGACCCATTAGTTAATTGTTACAAACAAATAATAGTTAAATTTATTATAAAAATTTAATACACAATTTTCACTACTTGCCAATAAATATTATGACTATAACATAACGCAAAAATAATAAAAATAAAGCAATAAATAGTAAAATAATGTATTATATCATACTTCATTCAGCGGCCACTCGCTCGAATTGGCGCTGTTGACTGGAGCAGTGACACACTCAAGCAACGTCTGTGTATGCGCCGCCAGCTTTGTTTTCATTTTCGTTTAAAAATGCCACTTTTCAAACTTCATTTTTTAATAATTTAACACAAAATTATGTATTTTTCGGAAAACAGCGAGATTCCTTGAACCCAAATCTATTATTCCTCAAAATTTTAGACAAAATTTTTTTTTTCATTTTAGAGTAAGACGTATACTACCAAAACACATTTTCCCATACTAGGTCACGTGTGAGGTTCCCACATACCCTTAACTCTTAAAGGAACCCAAATTATTAATTTCATACAAATTTACTAAAATAACATAAATAGGTGCGTTGCGATTAGTTGACGTTAATTCGCTCGTTTCATTATTTTTTTATAGATTAGAATTATTTTCTAAGACAGCAAGAAACTAATTGTCAATTTCAATTTTTTTTTGGTAAATTAATTTCATACCCCTTGACTGGCGATGGCCCGTATATGTCCAAAAAAAAGTCGTGCCACCTTTATGATTTTGGACATATATATCCACATTAGAAAAAAAATACTAAACATAATTAGAATTGAGTGTTAATGTGTATACTAAGGTTTTCGGGGTCGCTTAGTCCGAATTTGAGGTTAGAATTAAAAAATTCAAAATGGCAGACCCAATATAGCGTCCAAAAAAATTAAAAAATTTACTTGATTTTCATAAAAATGTTTCCTTTAGGGTTTTTGGGGTCGCTAAATCCAAAATTCAGGTCAAATTTAAAAAATTTAAAATGGCGGACCCAATATGGCGACCCAATATAGCGGAAAAATTTAAAATTTATTCGATTCGTTCAAAATTCGGTACTCGGGGGTTTTTTGGGTCTCTGAATCCAAATTTGAGGTCAAATTTGGATTTAGCGACCCAAAAAACCCCCGAGTACCAAATTTTGAACGAATGGAATCAACTTTAAATTTTTCCGCCATATTGGGTCCGCCATTTTGAATTTTTTAAATCTGACACTAAATTTGGATTCAACGACCCCAAAAACCCCTGAGTACCAAATTTTGAACGAATCGAATCAACTTTAAATTTTTCCGACATATTGGGTGGCCATATTGGGTCCGCCATTTTGAGTTTTTAAAATCTGACCTCAAATTTGGATTCAGCGACCGCAAAAACCTTTAATATGGTACTCGACTGCGAAGGGGTTAAAGAATTTTGTTTATAAATTTGTTTCCTTTAATCGTTGTTTATACTTGTCCTAGAAAGTTTGTATTATTATTATTATTACTGATTCTACTTTAAATTTATTTCTCTAATTAATTTTCTGAATTTTTTTCTCTTAAATATTAAATGCTCACATTTAAAGTTTTTCATAGAAAGTAAGTTGTTATTGTGTATATTTTCAAATTCAATTTGTATTTTAAACTCTTTAAATTAAGGGCGCACTCACACCTCTGGCTGCCTGCACAGGCAGCCTCCCACCACGCAGAAAACGTACAAGAGTAAGAGAGACAGAAAATTCAAATTTAAATCTACTGACTCTCTGATTGGCTCTCACTGGCTGCCTGTGCAGGCAGCCAGAGGTGTGAGTGCGCCCTAAAAGAACAACTAATTATTCTTTAAAATTTTATAATTTTTTTGAGATAGTTAAAATGGAAATCTTTTGTTTATTATAGGCGTTTTAATTTAAAATAAACTATTTTATTTATCTTTTTGTAAACGTCCATTATTAGAGGTCAACAATCTTTTCTAGCAATATTTAATATATAAATAATCAAAAAAATTTTAATTTAAATTTAACCTTTTTAGAATTTTTATTTTTTGAAAAAATGAAATTTTTTTAGAATTCATACAATTTCAATTATTTAAGAATTTTATATTCTATTTACAAATTTACTTTTAACCAAATTTTTATTTTTTCGAACTATTATTATTAAACGAAAATTCCATTTAAATGAATTTTTATATAACAAATAAATTGTTAATTAAACGAATTCTCATTTTACAGAAAGAATATTAGGAAGAATTCTTTTCTGGCAAAATTTTCATTTGTTCGAATTTGCATTTCACAAAATTTTAAAAACTCCTAATTTTTATTTTACAGAACTTTCATTTGTCCGAATAAATTGTCTTAAAAATTTTGGCGCAAATTTTTTTGACAGATTCGAACAAATTAAAATTCTGTAAAAATGTAATTATTTTAAAAAATTTGTAAAATGTAAATTCGTCTTTAAAAAATAATTATTTCTAATATTCTTTCTGTAAAATAAAAATTCATATTTCTATTTTGTCTAACGAAAATTTGTGCATGTAATAATTCTGTCACATTCAATTTTGATGAAATAAAAATTGTGTAAAATGAAAATTCTTTTAAAGTAATAATTCTGTAACATAGAAATTTATTTGAATGAAATTTCTGTTAAATAATAATTCGAAAAAATGAAAATTGGGCTAAAAGTAAATTAAATAGTTAATGAAATTCTATCAAATGAAAATTCTAATTTTATTCTAGAGCTTATTCATTTGTCTCAAAATTTGAAATTTCAAAATGAAAAATAATAAATAATAATGTTTGTTTTGATTATTAGGCAATCAGAGAAGAGGAACGTAAAAAGAATAACAAAATACCCGAGATAATTAGCACTGAGCCACAAGATGAATTAACAATTTATCTGCGACAGCCAGTGACAGTTTCTCAAGGACCAGCGAAACGTAGATTATCTCAAATTGGTAAAAAATGCCACGACGAGGACACGATCAGTGATAAAATTGAAATTGACTCGGACAATATTGAAACACCACCAGCAACGAGAAGAGTCTTCAGTCCACCAAAAGAAGTCAAACCAGTTGAAAAGGAGCCGTGCAAACGAGAAAGATGCAGTAACTCAATCCAAGGACGTGAGGCTGTGAAACCAGGCAATTCTTATGGGGACCTTGGCTCAGGTAACTTTGACAGATTTTCAGCGGCCAGACGTACGAGACGTTATAAGAAAAATCAGGATCCCGATAAACAGGAAGTTGGCCTAAAACTAGAGACATCATCACACAAATTAGATACAAAATTGGATAATTCGATGAAATTCACCAATAATTCAAAAGTAGAGAATTTCGATCTAAAAATTGAGGAACCTTTAAAAACAGAATTGCCCCCAAAGATTGATAGTCCCTTGAAAAAGGAGGAACCAATGAAAATTGAAACACCATTGAAATTGGGTTTATTGAAGCAGGATGAGACTAAATTGGATAATTCCAATTTAACGGATACACCAAGAAGACCAAGTAGTTTAGCAATTACAAAGGATACAATTGAAAATGATGCGATGCTTCATGTTTGGCAGGAGAAATTAAAACGACGCGATGTCACTCACGATATTGATGTAGCTTTAGCGGAAATTGCAAAAGCTGAGGAGGATTTGCAACAATTGTCAAAATCAGCGGCACAAAGGAATTCACGACTTCCGGTTACTCAATTGGCACCTGTTATTGCCGTGACAAATACTGTTTTGAGTCCTGTGATGCAGGAATCAAGACTTCGGGAGGCACCACTCATTCCTAGTGAAAGAGCAATTCAAAGTCGAGAACGTCGCCGAAGTATGATTGATCCTAGCCAGGTAATTAAGATTTCTATTAGTTATATATAGGGTAAATGTTAACAGTTAGGGTAGGTCCTAGTAAGGTAGCACCATCTATATTGAAACAATAATTTCGAAAAATTATTTACACTATTTACTTAAAAACAAGACAATAAAATGCTTTGTCCTTTAAGATAATAGATTATTGGCAAGAAATACACCAGCTAAAACTTATTTTGAGTTAAATTATTGTACAAAAAAATTAATTTCGATAAATTAAATATGAGCACTTTTTAAGAAAAACTATAACAATAGTTTCTCAGAAATAACAAACAAGAATGCAATTTTGATTTGAACCATGGCGGATCTCGAAATCGGAATGTACGCTGAATTCGTTGTACATTCGTTACACATTGGTTAAACATTTAGTTGGAGTGAAAATTGTGTAGAAACTGAGTGGAAACTGTGGAAAAGTGTAATTGAATTGAATAATAAAAGTATTTAGTGATAGATTTGTGCAGTATTTGTGATAAATTAACGTGTTATTATTAAATAAATAAAGTTTAAAGTGTAAAATGTTCGCGTAAGAGAGTTTGACAGGCTAGGGAATTTTCTAGTGACATTCAAATTGATAGTCGATAAAGAAGTTGAGCCGCCGACTTTGCACGGTAGGTGGCAGCATTCATACTTTCTGCTTTTTAAAAATTCTCTTTTTCAATTCTAAATAGAAAAATTAATTAATTCATAAGTTGTATAGTTTCTATGTTTTCATTTTTTAACAATTGAACTTTTGAAGATTGTTTAATGAGATAAATTAAACTTGTATAATCGATGCAAATTGTTGTTTTTAAAATACTTTTAAATAAATCTTTTCTTTTATAATTACATTTATGGGTCAAACCATTATATTTCAACTAAAGTGGTCGCTGACTAATTTTTAAAAATTATAATACTTTGCAGGAATGATTTTGAAGTTATCAAGATCACGAAATGAAAAGAATTTTATTAAAAATTTAAATATTTATTGTAAAATATGAATTTAAAGTATATGAGGTGCTAAAAACTGTCAATTTTTTAGCCATTAGAAAATATGCAAAAAAACATAGAATTTACCATAAAAATAAAAAAAAAATTATTGGAATTTACTAAGAATGAATAAATTTATCATTATCAATTGATATAATTATTTAAAGATGTGAAGTAATATATAAAATATGATTTCCAAGTGCACCTGTCAAATAACCTAATTTTGCGATTTTTATTCATTAATTATAAAAAATAGAAAACATTAAATTAAATAAAAACTTACCAAATATGAAGTTCTTGCCATAAACTTTTAGAATTTCTTTGCACTTTTCTTCTTTTCTATTCATAAGTATGAAAAATTTTAAAAATAAAATAGCTATTTTGTCTATTTTCACTATTTTTGAAAGTCAATAACTTTCTTGGAGAAAAATGAAAAAATATGGGGTTTCGAAAATTATTTAAATACACACTACATATACATTCACTGAAAATTTCGCATTGGTCCCGAAGCTATTTTCGAAGATAAAGTAAATTAAAAATTTCGTATTTTTTAGGCTATATGGACATGGATTTTAAATCAATGTGAAGGTGGTTCACTGGTGACGACAAACTTCACATTGATTTAATACCTTTAAAACCCATGTCAATATAGCCTAAAAAATACGAAATTTTTAATTTACTTTATCTTCGAAAATAGCTTCGGGACCAATGCGAAATTTTCAGTGAATGTATATGTAGTGTGTATTTAAATAATTTTCGAAACCCCATATTTTTTCATTTTTCTCCAAGAAAGTTATTGACTTTCAAAAATAGTGAAAATAGACAAAGTAGCTATTTTATTTTTTAAATTTTTCATACTTATGAATAGAAAAGAAGAAAAGTGCAAAGAAATTCTAAAAGTTTATGGCAAGAACTTCATATTTGGTAAGTTTTTATTTAATTTAATGTTTTCTATTTTTTATAATTAATGAATAAAAATCGCAAAATTAGGTTATTTGACAGGTGCACTTGGAAATCATATTTTATATATTACTTCACATCTTTAAATAATTATATCAATTAATAATGATAAATTTATTCATTCTTAGTAAATTCCAATAATTTTTTTTTATTTTTATGGTAAATTCTATGTTTTTTTGCATATTTTCTAATGGCTAAAAAATTGACAGTTTTTAGCACCTCATATACTTTAAATTCATATTTTACAATAAATATTTAAATTTTTAATAAAATTCTTTTCATTTCGTGATCTTGATAACTTCAAAATCATTCCTGCAAAGTATTATAATTTTTAAAAATTAGTCAGCGACCACTTTAGTTGAAATATAATGGTTTGACCCTTATATTAAAAATAAATAATAATAAAATAAAGAAAGATAAAAAAAGTTTTCTTTATTAAAATTATGATTAAATTAATTTAATTGAATTTAATAAATAAACAACAATTTGCATCGATTATACAAGTTTAATTTATCTCATTAAACAATCTTCAAAAGTTCAATTGTTAAAAAATGAAAACATAGAAACTATACAACTTATGAATTAATTAATTTTTCTATTTAGAATTGAAAAAGAGAATTTTTAAAAAGCAGAAAGTATGAATGCTGCCACCTACCGTGCAAAGTCGGCGGCTCAACTTCTTTATCGACTATCAATTTGAATGTCACTAGAAAATTCCCTAGCCTGTCAAACTCACTTACGCTAACATTTTACACTTTAAACTTTATTTATTTAATAATAACACGTTAATTTATCACAAATACAGCACAAATCTATCACTAAATACTTTTATTATTCAATTCAATTACACTTTTCCACAGTTTCCACTCAGTTTCTACACAATTTTCACTCCAACTAAATGTTTAACTAATGTGTAACGAATGTACAACGAATTCAGCGTACATTCCGATTTCGAGATCCGCCAGGGAAGAATTAATAAACATTAAAAAATACACCAGCTAAGATTCACTAATCACGAAAATAACAACAAAAACTTTTATTTGTAACATAACATATTGACACTATTTTACTGATTTTGACAGCCATTTGCAAAGTAATATATTTGTTTTTGTTAGCAACTGCGCCAATCTCCTCCTGTAGGTAGAATCGCGAAACGTTTATTAACATATTACCTACCAAATTATTATTACTGTATAAGACAGTTGTTATTACATAATTTAAAATTACTAGGGGGATAAATTCCTTTTTCCGTCGACTCTTGACCTCAGTCAAGTTTTGATTCGGTTGGGTTTCAGGCAATATATTACAAAAAATAACTGAAATATTGGAAAATATGCTATTGGGAAGTATAAATTCATGATTTTTTAGTTGATTTATATAATATTATGGGGTTATTAAGCTCTTATTATGAAATAATTCATGTATTCAAAATATAGTGTATTTACCTGTCATGATTTATTCTATTTTGTGAATGAAAAAAAAATTACACAAAATGAACTTTTTTCCTATTAAATTAATAAGGTAAATGACCCAATTTGTGAACAGTTCCATATATAAATGCAAATTAAAACCAAAATCAATAAAAAATAATGTTGCAAATATTTATTTTTTATTCTATAATATTTATGTGTAATAATAAATGGAATTTTATAACTATAAAAGTGCTATTAATATAATTAAAAAAATAAATACTTTTACAATATTGACACTTCTGCGCAATCAGCGCAAATATAGCGTCATTTTTTATCATTTGTCCATGGAGTAGTATAAGGAGACCGAACGACGTACATTAAAAGTGGACCAAATTTTGGTAACCGCTTAGTGTCATGAAAATACATAATGGAACACAAGCGCTCTCGTGGGAAGTATGTAAACAGTGGGAAAAATTAGAAGTACGTTGAACATAACCCAAAAATATATTGCTCCTTATTTTTAAAACTTTTACAATGGCTGACTGTCCAGCTGAGTTTAACACAATCAGTGGCGCTAGTGTTCCATTACGTATTTTCATGACACTAAGCGGTTACCAAAATTTGGTCCACTTTTAACGCAGATTTAACATGGTCGTTCGGTCACCTTATACTACTCCATGCATTTGTCATTTGACAGATTAACCTAAAAATGTTGTCCAGTAATAAAAGATAAAAAGAAAAAGATAAAAAGAACTGTTCAATTACTGAAATAACTTTTTAAATTAAATCTGCTGCTCACAAATAAGTTCATCTTTGTTCATAAATATCGGTGCAAACAAAAATTTAGAGTAATGTTAATTTTTAAACTTTTGACAGGTAAAAGAAGCCAGGCGAGTGATGAGCGATTCTTCAAGTCAAGTTATTCCCGAAGTAGTTGGGAATTTTGACCGACCAGATTCATCGATATTAAGAGATGATTCATCGCGACATTTTCTCGACAAGTCTTCGGACTTAAATTCCGAATCTGGAAGTCCCTTTAGTGCAGACAAGAATCGATCTTCAAAACAAAATTCCATGTTCAAGAGTCGATTTATTCCAGATTTAAGTGTCACTTCAATTCCGGTCAACAAATCCAGGGACCAAGAAATGAACGACGAAGGTTTTGAGGAAACTCAAAGTTTAGTGTCCGAGACACTAAGCCAGGAAACATCCTCGGGAAATTATGAAACTGACACTCACGATTCTACCAGATGCTCACCAGCTGATCTTGGATGCAGTGAGTTCTCTAAATTCCATTTATAAAACAAATTTTTCAAATGGTTCTTAAAAACAAAAGTTATCAAATATTTTCTGTACGCGACATAAGTAATTAAATATTATCAAACGGCAAGAATAGATTCTTTGTTATATTAATATAATTTGAAAATAATATCTTTAAGTATAATTAAACTTTTTATTTATCAGCTACCAATGGACAAAGAAGAGGAAGTGAAATTCCCACATCAGATTCAAGTCTAATAAGAATAAAGCCTTTCGATCGAAGAAATTCCTCAATGAGATTAAAAACAGATACGTCGAGTTTTCTTCCAAAGAGAACAGGAAGTTTAAAGAGAGACTTGCCAAGAAAAGTTGAAACAATTAAACGATCTGAAGTTCTTTCATCGAGAAATCCTCCGAGAGATGAAGTAGAACGATCCGGGTCACGAAGTAGTCTACGTAGTTCAAGGAGTTCCCTTAATAGTGCGACTTCCGTTAATACCGTAAGGAATTTGGGATCAAATCATCCTCATCTAAACAGGTTTGAAAATAATTTTAATTCTTTTGACTATTGACACGAAATGATTTTAAAAAAATTAATAAAAAAACCTAAAGAACCTATCTAACGAATAATAATAAATTGTAATCAGATATACCTCGGCTATTCGCGCTCTGACGAGTGATCTTCGAAAGGGAAATTCTCCAGCAAACGCGAGTTCGAAGGAAGCTGAAAAGCGAAGAATTGCTCCAAGAACTGGTGTCAGTAGAATTCCTGCGAGCAGAAGTTCCAGCAGTGGCAGCAGTGTTGGTCCAGCAATGAGAACTATCAGAAAATCTGTTGGTGTAAGTAAAAATTTAAATTAAATTATACTTAATTTACTCTTTCTGGCAAAATATTCTTACTTATTTTACTATCAACAATATAATTAAATACGTGAACAATCACATGAAACCAAGAAATTAGCTGTACATCTGCCTAATGAACAATCAATGTGTTTTAAAAAATGACTAAAAAACACAATTAATAAATTTAAAAATATGACATTAACAGTATGGCTCAATTACATATATATAAGATCCTGAGTCACGCAAGTATTTGTACATAGAAATAACCACTGAGTTTGGTTTTGATGAACCATTAAAAATTTGAAATATAAGAACAAGAATAACCTATGTTCCGATATCAATTATTAGCTGTCAGCTAAGCTCTCCCTGCGTTCTTTTTCTCAACCTGAACTAATTTTCATGTATTCTTTCTCAACAACGTCTCACTAATGACCTTACATCACTTTCTCCTTTTTATGATCATCCTACGTATTTTTAAGGCATATTATCTTTTTCCCCATCGCATACCTTAACCTTATCCTTTGCTCTAATCCTTGACAACAATCTCTTTATTTCTTCCTTTCCTTAGGTGTAACCCACCTTTAAACTTCGATCTAATCACAATATTTGTTTTTCTTTATTCTCTGTCTTTCTCTTTCATTTATCTCCATAAACTTCCCCTATTTTCCCTCTAACCACTCAGTAAAAAAAACTAATTCAGATGAATTGAAGTGAATTAACTTTTTTGGTAAGATCGAATTCGTATTTGTCGCTAAGCAAGATTCAGTGAAGCCCTTTGTATATTCAATTCAATTCGTACCAATGAATTTTCATCAGTTGGAAATTCAAACAAAATGACCAACTCGTCTATTTAATTTGTGCTAAAAAATTAAAATAATAAATAATAATAATTAATAAATACAGCTTTGTCGAATTCAAGAGAATTGCAACATAGCTCCAATTCGCAATTGTCGCTAAGCAAGATTCTCTGAAGCCCAGGGTGTATTCATTTTAATTCAACTGAATTAGTTTTCATTTGCTGGAGACTTATTTAACCGCATCAAGATCCTCACTCTTTGATTCAATAACCAATCTTTTCTCCCTTGAAGATTTAATTTCCTTAATCTTTTCTAAACTTTCCCCCTTACACAGTAGAAGATGTTAAAGATTCTCCGAAATTTCTTCTAGAATATCTAGGAGAGATTCTAGTAATATTAAAATGTCTACCTCATTGGAACCTTCACTGTAATATCCACTTGGAATGTTAAGAAAATCTTCCAATGTAATAGCAAGGGAATCTTCTACTGGAATATCATGGAAAGCTCCCAGGGAACTTTTTACTGGAATATTAAAGACTTTTCTACAGCAATATCAAGAGAATATTTCCTGAAAACCCCTTAGAAAAATAAGCAGATTTTAACGTAAAACTTCCCAAGAAATATTTAGTGAATCTTTCCAGGATTTGTTAGTAAAAAGTGTCCTTAATATATTGTTGGGAGGTTCTCTTAATATTCCTTTGAAAGATTGTCTTGATGTTCAAGTAGAAAGTTTTGGGTGAGGTGGACATTTGAACATTACTGAAAGTTTTCCACGATATTCCTGCGGAAGGTTAAGAATCTCCTATATACTAAGACTGATTTCATCGCAGAGGATAAAGAAGGAAATGAAATATTAAGCATGGATGACCTTCGCGATAAAAACACCCTCACTATAACGTAGATCTTATTACTCTGTGAAAACATCCACTTAAGCCCACACTACAAAAATTGTCGACGATGGCGGGAATGAAATCGGGTTGACGGGTTTTACACTTTGTCTCTTTCAATAACCTCGAAGATCCGTTCACATATTTTCGGGTATTTCCCTGATGCCAGTTAATACCGCCGTGGTGGCCCCGGCATCAGAATAGGGCCCCCGTAGGTTACCGCTTGCCGTAAGAGGAAACTAAAGGGTACCCCCTGCTGGAACGAGAGTGGAGTCCCAGCTAGGGGCTGGCAGTGCAAAGGCGTTCATGCAAGTCAAATATTTGTTCGTCCGTCCTCAATGCGATCCGTGCGGGTCGGATAATTGAGACTGCGTCCCAAAAACAACGGTGATGATAGTGAACTCCCGTAATGGTAATGGTAAAGGACGGTGGTCTGTGTTATACTTGCTACTATTCCCGTGTAAAAATTGCCCTACCAGGGCCCTAGTAGGGAATGAAACGCCACACCTGATCAGGGCCAAATCAGGGCGACCGGAAAATTTTGATTTCTTAATCAGGGCCACATCAGGCGCGGCGTTTCATTCCCTCATAGGGCAGCCTGGTTCGGCCCCGATTTGGGCCCTGGCAAAATTTCTGCACGAGTTATTGTCTGAGGAGGTTTGCTTTGGGGGTTTTCTGGCATCAATCTCGCCGCTGCCAACAATTGACAAACTTGTGTAACATTGGTCAATAAGCATCCCAAAATGCCGAATGGTTCAATCGTGATGTTCCAATAGGCTAATGGTAAAGGAATGTGGCTTTGGCACGTATTGCCGCTTGCCTTGACCTGAAGTAGTTTCGAGTTTTTCGGAAATCACTACCTTCCGGTTGGTCTTGGCATATATGTGGTGCATGTTGTCGTATTTAACCGGTAACCGACTGCCAGTATGCCCTCCGATTTCCCGGATACTGGAAAGTGGTACTCATGCCTGAGTAGAATGGTACCATGGGACGTGTCTGGAGCCCAGGAGACTCTTAGGTCTCCGTCAGGCATTGGGTATGGATTCGTGGTGGCAGTGGTTACAGCCCACATCGCTTGGGATTAGCGTGCGTTAGCACGTTGTGCACACGTCTTTCGCATTCGGTGTGTGAGTTGCATTAACTCAACTCGGGTGAAAACCTGCAGAGTTTCCAGGAATAGGAATGGTCCCGGCTCTCACCAAGAGTAGCAATCGTGACTTAGGTCGGTCGCATTGTCAATTGGTAGGTGACTGCAAGAAATCCTGCGTCATCGGTGTTGGTCAGGCATTAAGTCTTGACCCCATATCCCATGGGGGACCGTGATTGTATACATGTATATGGAGGTTTTGCACGTTAAACATTTAGGCGATGATGCCAGGTAATAACCCTCGCCGTGACACTCCCGGCTTCAGAATAGGGAGCCTGTAAACCACAGCATATCGTAAAAGGCGACTAAAAGGGGTGCGGAGGATAGTACCCATCTAGCTAAGTACCACTTTGACGGAGACGTCGAGGTGGGACGAGCCGATGATGTATGAACGCACTACGCCTGCCTGCTGTTCACCTGTGAAATGGGACCCATCGTAGAAGGTGGCCAAGGTGGCCGTGGAATACAGGCCTGAGAACTTGTCTTTTTTATCCCATCGCGTGCCGTAAGAGCCGACTGAACAGGGAAATTTAAACGCACTACGTCTCCTCGTTTGGAGGCAGGGTGAGACCGGGGTGTTTTCAGACTGCGGTCTCACATTTCGGCCTGGGAGCGAAACCTCCGCGTGGTCCCCGCTGGAAGTACAGGATTCTTCTCTTTGCTTACTCACGCCCACCCCTGTTGGGGTATTATTGGGGCCAAGATGAATGTTACTAACCGCTCCTCCATTTCATTGGGCACCCCCTTCTTGCACTCTAGACATCGTCTATCTTGTGTGTCACAAGGAATTCTATGTCGTAAGAGGGGTTTTTCCTTCCCCTAAGTACATGGTGTGGTACTAGACACTAGGTAGTAGTCGTGGTATAACATCGGGGATTATAGTCCTTATGGACCCAGGTGCCCCAAGACTTCGGTCTTTCTCTTTATAAGAGCACGAGTAATTCTAATGCCAAACCCACCGTGGTGGCCGCGACATTAGAATAGGGCGCACGTTAGTTACCGCGTATCGTAAGAGGCGACAGAAGGTAACCCCCTGCTGGAACAAGAGCGGAGTACCTGTTAGGGCGTTAACAGTACAGTGGCGTTCCTCCATGTCAATTATTTGTGCGTCCGCCCTCATGCGTTTCGTGAGAGTCGAAAAATTGAGAAAGAGTCCCAAAAGCCAAACGGTTCAACTGTGATGTTCCGATTGGTAATGGTAAAGAATGGTGGCCTCCGTTTATACTTGCAACTGTTATTGTCTGAGGAGGTTTGCTTAAGAGTTTTTCAGCATCAATCTCGCCGCTGCTAACAATAACAACCCTGTGTAACATATGTGTCAATATGCATCCCAAAAATTCCGAGTGGGTTCAATTGTGATGTCCCGACTGACAATGATAGAGGATAGTGGCTTCGGATCATGTGCTGCTTGTCTTGACCTGAAGTAGTTCCGAGTATTTTAGAAGTCACTAACTTCCGGTTGGTATGGTCTCCAGTTCCCCGGATACTGGAAAGTGGTACTCGTACCTGAGTATAATGGTACCACGAGATGCGTCTGGAGCCAAAGAGACCTTCCGGTTCTCCGACAGGCGTTAGGCATGGATTCGTGATGGAAGTGGTTACAGTCTACACCGTTGAGGCTAGGGGGTGTTAGCACGTTGTGCACATGTCTTTCGTACTTGGTGTGGGAGTTGCACTAACTGAAATCAGGCGGAAACCTGTAGAGTTTAAAACGATTAAAAATGTCACGCCCCTTACCAAGAGGAGCAATCGTGACTTAGGCCGGTCGCATTGCTAATTAGCAGGTGACCAGAAGAAATTCTGTGTCATCGGTGTTGGCCAGGTACTAACTCTTGGCCACGTGTCGCATGGGGGACCGTGTTGGTATACCCCGGCATCAGAATGCGTTCCGTATGAAACAGAAAATTGAGAATCCGTCCCAAAAGTGGATCTGTTCAACTATGAGCAAGGAGAGACACCTCCGGCTGCTTGACTGATTAGCTCTTACTGGCAGGCAGCCAGAGATGTACAAGCGACTTTAATTATCGCCTTATAAAAACAGCGCTGAACGTAAAAATGATAAAAATTAATTTTAAAATAGTTTGGTCTCGAAACACGGATACTTTTTACAAAAACGCCAAGAATCCTTATCTTATAAATTTCGTAAATCCTAAAGATTGTGCGAATCCAAACAAAAACTTTATTGAAGAACGAAAAGTTGGAAAGTAGTATAATAACAGCTGAGACTTTGCTCCCAGCATGCTTCTGCCATCTGACGACGGCAGGACGTAATAAAGCTGTCATTATATTACTTTACAACTTTTTGTTCTTCAATTGCGTTTTTGTATGGATTTGCACAATCTTTCGGGTTAATGTTGTTGATTTTAGTTTGTTCTATTGATTTTGATTACTCTGAGAAATATTAATACTCTCGTTATTATAATAAATCACAACACTGAAGTTGAATAAAATAATTCGAGTTCTATGTGTGTTTAATTTGCCTTTTGTAATAATTTACAATTATTTTCGATTTTTTCAGGCAATTTCTGAATTACCTAGAGGATCAACGGGAAATTTGAGAACCAGAGCAGTCGTCTCATCCCGAAGTAGTAGCAGTGGAAGTAGCGTTGGTCCACAAACAGCGAGTCGGCAAAATATTGATAAATTGGGAGGCAGTAAAAGTCGTTTAGTCCAACCAAAACCAAGTCCAAGAAATCACAGTTTCATGAGACCCACAACAGCCAGTGTCAATAAGGGATCTATCCCTAATCTTCCCAAAAGCATAAAAACCCTCGTTAAATAAAAGAGAGGGGCCTTTTTATACCATCTAAAAAAAACCCAAATTTTGCCAATATTACCGAAAGTAGTTTAAATAATTAAGTCAAAAAAATATCGATGTTCGCGAGCAAAAAAAATAAATAAAATAAACCCCTTTATACTGTAACAAATATCGATCAATTTGTTAAACTAATTTCAATAAAAATATAGAAATACTAAACTCTTTATGTTTTTATAATTGCGAGCAAAAAAAATATTAAAAATTTACTCCACACTGAAAAAAATGTACACAAGGAAGGAGAAGTATATTTTTACAATTTTAAAAAATTTAAATTTTTCTTTATTACTAAATGAAAAAAATATACAACAACAATATTTATTTTAAATTTTTGCGAATTTAATTGGTACTTTTTACAATTTCATTACAATTTACAAAATAATATACACAATCTTACGAAATTAAGGGCACTTTAAATTCAGGTACGTCTAAGAATTGCGATTTCTATTTTTTTTTGTTTCTTATTTTTTCGTTTTCAATCACACGCCATCATTATGGCTAAAACAAAGAACAAAATCAAGAAAGAATTTCGATTATATTTTTTTCCCCTCCTCTTTGACAATCGCAATTCCGTGATTATATTCAAATATAGAAAAAAAAATTTACTTATTTTTTTTTTAGTAAATACTCGAAGCGTAAACGACAATAATCGATAGATAATATATTATATTCCTAAACACAAATTTTCCAGGCAATTTTGAGAAAATGACAAATTTTTAGAAGAAAAAAAAAACAAAAAAATGGAAAATTCTAATTTGCCATTTTTTTATAGAATTTGTCATTTTACAACAAAATTTAACTTACAAACCTAAAAATAAAGTCTTGTCCATTAGGCACTGAAGTCGGACTTTTTTTTATTAAAATTAAAAAAAGAGTATAAAATCTTTTTCACAGAATTTAAAAATTTTTTTAATTTCTTTAAAACACTATTTGAATAATAATTATTGACGTTTGTTTCTTTCTATAGGAAAAGTTTTTATTATTAAAAAAAAATAAATTTTAACTATTTAATTTTTTTCGTTACTACAAAGCAAATTATATTTTAATTATTATTATTATTTACATTATTAAATTTATTATTTATTTATTCGAGTATTTTAAATTTCGAATTGTTTAATTCAAAACTTGTCAGTATCGAAAAATTGGTTTCAAAAATTCATAAATTTCTCAAAAATTTATGAAAAGTATTTAAAAATTTCGCTTTTTGGAATTTTGAAAATGTAATGTAATTTTTTTCGGGTAAATTATTTTTTTAACTTCAGTGCCCACGCATCTAAAAACCGAATAAAACAGTTATTATAAACATCCACCATAAAAACCGCAAATAAAAAAAAAATATTTATCAAAACCTTGTCTATTTTAGATAAGAAGTTTTTTAAGAAAAAAAATAATTTTTCGTCGAAAGCAAATTTTATTTCAAATCACAAAGTATTTTTGAATTTTAAAAAACAATTTTTCACAAAAAAAATGGTTTTCATTTTTTCTTTTTGTAATAAAAAGTTTTTCAAAATAAAATTAATAAATGAAAAATTTCTAAATGTTTTATTTGCGGTTTTTTTTAAAAATGAAAAACACATTCTTTATATTATATATATATATATATCTAATTTTTCAGCTTAAAAATTAAAGAACTGAGCAAAATCTGTATCTACACACTATTTCGAGATGAAATATAAATAACACGCAACAAGATATATGAATAACAAATTAATACCTTTCGACGGACGAACAAATTTCACCATTCAACGAATTAAAACAACACACGACGTCGCGCATATAATAATATTAAAGAATAATAACTTTTATAAAAAAAAATATAGGTCTAAATATGATAAACATTACATTTATCAATATTAATATGTCGGAATGATTTCAAAAAAAAAAAAAAAAATTAATAATACAACGCGCCTTTAAATCGATTTAAATATAATTCTATAATCATCGATCAAATTAATTGAACTTGTAGTAATATGAAATTTAATTAGAAAAATTCTAATGAATTATTTCTCATTATTTTAGATTTAAATATAATTAAATTAAAACGATTTTATTGAATTTCAATTAAATTAATTCACTTTTATTATTCATTTGAATCGAATTAATCAAAATTTAATCTTAATTCATTTAATAAAAATTAATTAATTGATTAATTGAATTAAATGAATTATTACAATTATATTTGATAATTTAAAACAAATTAAGAATATTTAGAAGAATATTCAATGAATTAGAAATTAATTTAATAAATATAATTTTTAAAAAGGTACAAGTATTAAATGAAAAAAAATTTCTTTCTGTTAAAAATGTTTTTCTAATTAATTTTATAATAAAAAGGCCGTTTCATTATAAAATTTATAAAAAAAATTTAAATTCAAAAATATTTATTTTAATTAAATTTCTAATTACTTAAATTCAATGCAATTTAATCGATTATTATCAACAATCAATTCGCATCTATAACGAATTTTCATTTTACCGAATAAGATTCTCCCCTTCTTATTTTTTTCGTCTATTAAAAAGGAATACCTTTTCTATAAGAATTTCTTTTCTATTGAGATTTTGTTTTAATTTTTTTTTTCTTTAAAAATATTTTTTAAAAATAACTTTTTCTTTTTACACAGAAAAAAAGAAATTAAATAAAAAAAATTCTTAATTTAATTTCTTTTTTTCTTCATCCATTTTTTTTTTTTGTCTATGAAAAATCACTTTCACAGAGGTTTTTAAAATTCTATCTATTTTGGAGAGAATATTAAAGAAATTCTTTCCTTACACGCAAATGTAATCTTTTTTTAAAAAAAATTCTTCATGAAAGAATTTCTTTAATTTCAAATCAATATTCTTTCATTCAAGAACATCATCTCTTGAGGAATTTTTCCTTTTTTTCTTTAAAAAAAACTTCCTTTTACTTTTTTTTTTTTGACGATTTCTTCTGCGGCTTCTCATCGTTTTCAATGATTTTTTATCATTATTATTATTATTTTTTTTATTGTTGTTGTTGATGTTGAAATTTCACGTTAAGTCGATTCGATCCCGAAAATGAAGAGACACTGGACCCTTTGGCGCCAGGATAAATTCAAATTGCAGACCCAACTCATCTTCTGCGACGATCTTGAAATCTCGTACAATCTTTTGGGGATCGTAAAAGTCAATATATTATAAAATCCAAACGGATCGTAAACTGTTTAGTGATAAAAGGGAAAAAGAAAAAAAAATAAACAAAAATATTCTTTCTAAAAGTTTTTGTGGAGGTAAAAAAATTTTGAATTTTAAATCATCGAGAAAGTTATTCATTTTTTTTAGTCGAATTTTCACTGAACAGAATTTTTAATGAGTTGAACTTTTAAAAATTATATATTTTTAAGGAGCATGATTATCCTATAAAAAATCATTAGTTAGAATTTTTATTTTAAAACATTTTATTTGTTATAATTATTATTTTTTTGATGGATTTTCATTTTTCAACATGACCTTTGTTAGAATTTCTTTTTAAACGAATTTTTATTTAAGAGAATTTTTAAGTACCGAATTTTTATTTTGTAAAAATTTTTATTTTACAGAAATTCTCTTTAAACAACTATTATTATTTAAAAGAATTTTAATTTAACCAATTTTTAATTTAGCAGAATTCTCATTCAATCGAGTTTTATGTGATTCTAATTCATCGAATCTTAATATTATCCGAATTTTTAAGGGAAGTCACCACCTTTATTTTAAGTGCCTTAAATTTTAATAATGGCAGGAAGTTATATTTTTTTCTTGCATCATTTGAGTCCTGAAAATATACAGAACGGTCAAAAATCAAAATTATAATTTTTGACCATTTCAGAATTTTTATTTTTTGAAAAAATTAAATGTTTTGAAAATCCATACAAGAGATTCTTAAGAATCATTAAAAAAAAACGTGGAAAAAAATTTACGATGAAAAAAAGTTAAAATTATATAAGAAGATGGATATTTAAAATATTAATTGTTTTAAGACTTTAATTTTTAAAATGGTCAAAAATTAATAATTTTTGTTTTTTTACCTTCCCGTATGTTTTTAGGACCCAAATGATTCAAGAAAAAAAATATAACTTACTACGATTATTAAAATTTAAAAGACTTCGGCGCGATTTTAAAAAACTGTCCAATTAGAAATTATCAAGAAAATCTTGATTCGCCAAATTTGGACAAATTAAAATTCGGTGAATTCGAATTTCTGTCATTTAAAAATTAGAATCACATAAAATTCAATTGAAAAATTTGTTTAAATTAAAATTCTTTTCAAGAAAAAGTTTGAAAATGTCTGAAAATAAAAATTCGGTAGCAGAAAACTTTGTTAAATAAAAAATTCGTTTAAAAAGAAAGTCTGTCACAAATGCTAATTCGAGAAATGAAAATTTGTCTAAAAAATATTATTAAATAAAATTCTTTAAAATGAGAATTCTAACTAATGATTTTTATAGAATGCAAATCTATTTTTTCATTGGAAAATTTGATTTTAAAATTTTCCAATAAATTTTTGATTTAAAAATGATATAACATTTTTATTATTTACCTTTGCAAGAATAAGTTGAAGGGCTTGTTCAACGAATCGTTTGCCTGGACAAATTCGACGTCCGGCTCCAAAAGGTGTGACAAGAAGAGGCGAATGTGGAGTTGGTGGGTTTATCCACCTTTCTGGAATGCACTTATTCGCCTCTTTAAAGTTGCTGTCATTTAAACCCGCAATCCATGTGTGTAAAACCACCACTGTCTAAAAATAAAAATTCCAAAAAGTGAAATAAACAATCAAACAAATGAAAAAAAATTTCAAGTTCAAATTTAAAATTAATATACACAAAAAAATACTCATCAAAAAAATGTAGATAAAAAATAATGATTTAAAAATTTTTTAAATTGTACATAAAAAAATAATGATTTTCCAAATTTTTAAATTGTACACAAAAAATAATGATTTTCCAAATTTTTAAATTGTACACAAAAATTAATGATTTTCATAATTTTTAAATTGTACACAAAAAAATGATTTGTAAAAATTAAAAATAATTGTATTTAAGAGTAAATTTAAAAAATATATAGAAAAATTTGGAGTAAATGTAAACAAGCCGTAATAAATAAAAGATGTTGACACATAATCACAAAAATAAGGAAATATTTTAAATAAAATCAAACAAATTAAAAAAAAATAAGTAAATAAAACTACGGAAATATTTAATTCCTTTTCTTTTATTGTAATTAAATAAATTAAAATTTCAAACTTACTCCTGCTTGAAGGCTATATCCACCAAGTTCTGCAGGTTCGTCAAGTATTCTTGCGAGACAAGGAGCCGTTGGTAGAAGTCTAAAAATGAAATAAGAAAATTATTCCCAAAAAAAAAAATTAACTTACATCTACGAATGATTCCACGTTATTCTAACAAAATTTTTTAAACTGATATTTTTGATCTGACTAAAAAAATTTTTTTAACTTATTGTACTCTGTATGAAAAAGTATTCCATGATTTTTTTCAAATTTTTTTATCAAGCCATAAATTTTTCAAAATTTCAGATTTATTTAAAATGCTTATGGGGCTAAATTCTTGAAGTGTAGCAATATCAAAAATGTGAACATTGGATTGTTTGAAGAAACATAACATAAAAGGATGAAAAAAATTTTGACCTATATGTTTTCAAAAGGTTTTTTCCTGTTCTTTCGAATGGTGCAAAATTTTTTTTTTTTTTTTTATTTCAAAATTTACACCTTTTTTGAAAATCAAAAATATTTTTGAATTTTTTTGAATTTTAATTTTTTGAAAATTTTGCATACCCATAAAATGCAGAAAATCAGGAATTTTTAGTTTTTTTTTTTTTGGTATTTACCAAGAAAATAAAATTAACAAGTATTTTCACTATGATTTTTGTAACGGAAATATTCTTCAAAAAATTCAACATTTTGAAAATTTTAAAAAATGTCGAAAAAATTGTTTTTTTACGACGGGACCAGGCTCAAAATTTTTGTACAAAAAGTAGTTTTTTTGAAAATTAAAAAAATTTGAAATATACAAACAGTTTTAAAACTAAGATTTTAAATCTTTAAATTGCAAAAAAACTAGTAAATTATTTTTCGGGACGCATGAATATTCCCTTCATTAGACTTGACGGAATTTTTGTAGTGTCAAATTAAAAATTATCAAATTTACATTTAGTAAAATTTAAAAAAAAGAGATTTTATAATGAGCCCAATTTTAATAACAACAAATTTTTATTTAACAAAATTCGGATTTTGTAGAATTTTTATTTAACTGAATTTAGATAAAGCAGAGTTTCTAATATATCGAATTTTCAAATAACACAATTTCCATTCAACAAAATTGATATATAGAAAAATTTTCATAAAAAAAAGTTTTTATTTATTAGAATTGTTCTTTTGTCGAATTTCTATTTATCCGAATATTCAATTAAAAAGTATTTTCATTTACAGAATTTCCAACTAAATGAATTTTTATATACCAAAATTCTCATTAAACAAAAGTTTTATTCAAAAAATGTTTATACAATCAAATTTTTATTTAATAGTATTGTCATTTAACAGAAATTCTTTTTAGCCAAATTTTTGAGACAGAGAATTTCTAATTCACCAATACTTTATTTGACCGAAGTTTCACTTATCCGAATTTTCATTAGATAGAAATGTTAAAATGTCGAATTTCCACGTGATCGAACTTTCATATATCAGATTATCCACTTGGTATACAAATTTCAGCGGGAGTTTTAAAATCAACCAATCAAAAATTATTAAGAAAATTTTGATTGGTTGAATTTAAAACTCCCGCTGAAATTTGTATACCAAGTGGATAATCTGATATATGAAAGTTCGATCACGTGGAAATTCGACATTTTAAAATTTCTATCTAATGAAAATTCGGATAAGTGAAACTTCGGTCAAATAAAGTATTGGTGAATTAGAAATTCTCTGTCTCAAAAATTTGGCTAAAAAGAATTTCTGTTAAATGACAATACTATTAAATAAAAATTAGGTTGTATAGACATTTTTTGAATAAAACTTTTGTTAAATGAGAATTTTGGTATATAAAAATTCATTTAGTTGGAAATTCTGTAAATAAAAATACTTTTTAATTGAATATTCGGATAAATAGAAATTCGACAAAAGAACAATTCTGATAAATAAAAACTTTTTTTTATGAAAATTTTTCTATATATCAATTTTGTTAAATGGAAATTGTATTATTTGAAAATTCGATATATTAGAAAATCTGCTTTATCTAAGTTCAGTTAAATAGAAATTCTACAAAATCAGAATTTAGTTAAATAGAAATTTTTCATTATTAAAATTGGGCTTATTATAAAATCTCTTTTTTAAAATTCTACTGAATGTAAATTTGATAATTTTTAATTTGACACCACAAAAATTCCGTCAAGTCTAATCAAGGGAATATTCATGCGTCCCTATTTTTCGACAATTTTGGGAAAGAAAAAATGTAAAAAAAAAGAAAAAATGTTTAAAAAATTTAGTTTTTCATAATCAACGCATCAAAATACATAAATATACGTAGTGTAAAAAAAAATCGGTATTAATTTAAAATTCAATATTTCGAAAATTCAAAAAATTCCGAAAAAATTGTTTCTTTATTTTAAAAAATTTAGTAAATTTATTTTAGGACATTTTGAGAAAATTTCATGTTTTAAATAATAATCAATCTATTTTGGAAAAACAATATATTTTTAAATAACAAAAATTTAATTTTTCAAAATTTATTTTCTATATTAATTGGAAAAATAGAAAATTGTCAAAAAAAAAAAAAAATGTTTTAAGTATGTTGACAAATATATTTATTTTTTCATTAGAAAATAGAAAAAATTATTGAAAAATTATTATAGTTTAATATATTTAAAAAAAACATAAAATTCGATATAAATGAAATTTATTGCAATGATTATATTTATGATAATAGTTTTTTAACGAGTCATTCAAGAGGAATTGTTAATGTGGCATATTTCTTGTCACATGTATATATATATACATATATAAGAATGAGGAAGAAAGAAAATCAAAATCAGGTTTGGTTCATTATGAAATCGACGAAAGGGTCGTAATCGTCAACAAGAGTCCAGAATAACCGCGGGAATTCCCAAGACCCGGTCACTCGATTTCTCGGAATCTCCTCAGAAATGTCCGAATGATGAATGAATAAAATTGAATGAATGAATGAATGAAGACAGAAAGGTACAAATTAAATAAAAAAAATAAAAAAAAACTCAAAAACCTCAAGTCATTGAACCCCAAAAAGGGAAGCAATAAAATGCTATTTTTAATATCTCAAGAGTTCTTTAAACTCAGAATTCATTTTCAAAAGTTCATTCAACTCTTAAACTCCAATTTATTCATTTAATCTTTCTTTTTTCTCAAATTTTTATCCACAGTGTTTTTTCAATTTTTTTTTCTCATTTAAAAGTGTGTGTTATAAAATTTTTTTTAATTATTTTGTAAATGTACAATTTTTTTATTGTTTCTGAGTTTCAAAATTCTTATTTTAATTTTATATTCAATTTGATTTCAATTTTAAGAAATTTTTTGATAAGAATATTTTTAAAAAATGATTTTTTGTTTTACAATTTTTGGAGTTTATCAAAGAATTTTTTTTAACTTTTTACAAATTGTAATTTTTAAAAATAAAAAATATGAAAAATGAATATTTTTTTTTTACTTTTTCCATTTATAGAATTCCTAAATGTTTTTTCAGAGACATTTTTTTTTATTCTTTATTAACTGAAAAGTTCATAATAATGATGAAGACTTTCGAATTACAATTATTTTGAATTAAAATTTTGAGTTTGTAGAGATTCTTTTTTTTTATTCTTATAAAATCGTTGAAAGCAAAAAAGGAGAGAATAATCTCTCTCTCTCTCTCTTTCTCTGACCATTGTAAAAATCGAATTCTGGTTCTTGCATCTTTATGAAATTCACCATCAGCAACGAGACCACCAGCAATGCTCAAGGTCAACTTGCTAACCATTGGAAATCTTTCGTCTCTCCATTCCGCAGACAATAATATTCCAGCCGGATAAGTGAGCTTGAGGATCCAAAGGGGAGCGAGAGAGACTTTATATAGATCCTGATGGATACTTTTATTGAAATCTTACGAAACAATTTTTTTCGCCGCAAAAACCAATTTCAAATTCATTTTTTTTCTTATTTCTTATTTATTATTACTATTATTTTTGTTATTATTAATTTTATTTTTCAAAATTTTTTCTAAAAATTATTTTAATAAAATGTATTTTTCTAAATTTCATTTTCCATATTTAAAATTTAATAAAATTTTTGCTTGAAAAATATTTATTACTTTTTTTCTTAACAATTAAAGAACAAAAATTATTACACTATTAAGAAATTATTATTTGTTTTTGTTTCTATTAATTTTATTTTTCAAATTTTTTTTAACTATTATAATTTTTACAAAACTAATTTTTTAAAATTGACTTTTTCTTCATGAAATTTATTAAATCATTTAAATTTATATTTATTTATTTATTTATCATTTTTGCTTATAAAATATTTATTCCATTTTTTATAAACGAGTAATAAGGAATAAAAAATTATATAAGTTAAAAAAAAGAAAAAATTTTGCACGAAATTATTAATAATGTAAATATCTTGTAGCAAGTATTTTCGAAAGATGACTCCTCAATCTCTTATGAAATTTGCTCTGCAACTTGACATTTTATATATTAAATATTATTTCGAGAATTTTTGTCACATGAGAATTCAATCGAACAATAAGAAAATTTCTTAAAAATAAAAATTCGCATTTTAAAAAATTTCTCTATAAAATTAAAATTTAATTGTGAAAAATTTTTGTTAAATTCTAATTTTTGCATTTCATAAATATAATATATGTTAATTTTTTTAAAATACATATTATTAAAAGTAATTAATATTAATATAATACAAAAGTTAAGAATTCGTATCAAAACTACAAAAAACTTTAAATAAATGTTATTTTTACATTCGATGTTTTTACTAATGTAAGATTTAATTTTATTAAAAATAAAAAAAACTTGTATGTAATAACTATAATAGATTAAATATCAAATTTGGAGTAAAAAAATAACAAAGTACAAAAAAAAAATTTTTAAATATTCAAAATATCAAACAAACAAAATTTTGTCAATGTAAAAAATCAATTAAAGAAAAATTTTAAATAATTAAAATAACAAAAGTGAAAACTTAAAATATAAAAATAAAAATATTTTTGTTTTGTTCAATCTAAAATTTTGTATGAAAAATTTTGTATTGTTTTGATATCAATTAAATGGCCAATCTTTTCTTGAAACTTTATGAATCGAGAAAAATATTTCTCGAACTAATATTTTGCAGAATTTATAAATTTACAGGGAATTATACTCGTCAAGAAACCGATGCTTTTATTCCCAAGACGGATTCCTGAGTCGAATCCTAAAGAGGCATATTACGTATAGAGCATTATAGAAATGCATTTTAATCTCGCAACATGAAAGTTTAGATAATATTTATATATATGAAATAAAGTGAATTCTGTGAATAATGAAGCATCCGAGATCTCTAGTGAAATACCGATTGACTTGATAAGCACGATTCAACTTGATAAGCAGGTATTTCATGATGAGACTACAGAGAGAGAGAGAGAGAGAGAGAGAGATAAGGGAGATGAGATTACCAACCTTAGACCACACAAAGGATCCGAGGATCACTCGAAAAAAAACATAAAAAAAATATATATGGAGTAAGAAAAATTCAAATTTTACATTAAAAATTTTGTCTTGATTGAGTCTTATCAATAATATTAATTTATATTATTATAAAATATAAACATTAAAATTGTTCACTGAGAAAAATGTTTATTCAGAGTAATCAAAATTTGATTGGGTCAACAAGAAAATTTTGTTGGTTTATGCAACCAAACTATTTGTATGAGTCAACCAAAAACTTTGGTTGAGTGTTTTTTGTTGGCATAACAAAAATATTTGGTTAGCTCAACCAAATTTTTTTGTTAGGTCAACAAAAATATTTGGTTGATCAAACCAACAGTTTTTTTGTAAAATTAAAAATTTTATTCTACCCTATTTCTTTTCATTTTATCTTTTTTATTTATTTATTATTAATTGAACGTTTAATTTATATTTATCCAATTGAAATATTTGTGGACTTTGAAAAATCTTATCTCCGCCTGGGATCGAACCTCTGCTTTTAAACTGCGAGTCGGGGGCTCTGACCACTGGACTACCCATCTTTGTGAGAGATTTAAACTAATTTTTCTCTTAAGGTACAAGATGAGAGCGAATTAAATTATTTGGTTGTCGTAACCAAATTTTGATTAGGACAACAAACGATCATTTGGTTTTTAGACCAAACTATTTTGTTGTGTTAACCAAATTATTTTGTTGTCGTAACCAAATTTTGGTTGGAATTTAAAAATGTTCAACCAAATAATCTTTTTGGTCTAACCAAATGTTTGGTGAAGGTAACTCTACGACTTTGTTTCAGCTAACCAAAATTTGGTTACAAGAACCAAAATTGTCTAACCAAACGATTTTGTTGCAAACACAAGATCTTTTTTTTCAGTGTAGTGGATTGAAAATGGTTACCAAATTAACGGATTGATTGATGGATTGATCAAAGAATTATTTAGCTTAAAATTTGTTAAATATGAAATTGAAAAAAATCATGAAAGCTAGTCTCAATTAGTACTAAAAGAAAAAAAAAGTTTAAAAAAAAACCAAGATTTTTGAAATTGGTATCTGATTTTGCGTGGAATACATTATACATTCCAACTATAAAAATTTCTACTTAGGCATTTTCTCTAAATAGTTTTAAAACATTTTTTTTAAAGAAGATCTTTGATTTTTTTTATATTTCTTTCCTCTTTTTTTTATTGAGAAATTATATATTAAAGAATTTAAATTGCTTAACAAACCTGAAAGCTTCAGTGATGCAGGCTCTTAAATATTTTGCCGTTCGAAGATCATCCACAGAGAGGTCACAACCTGGAGGAGCTAAATCTGCAACTTCTTCGAAAAGCTTCTTTTGAACCTCGGGATTGCTGCCAATCATGTGAAACAGGAAGACCAAAGTGTTTCCTAACTGCGATTTGAAATATTTTTTTTCAGATAATTTTCAAATTATAAAAATTTAAAGATTTAAAGATTCTCTTAATTTTTATTATAACAAAAGCTTTTTTATTCAGTAATAATACGAATATGTACAAATAAGGATATAGAAATTGTTATACTTACTGTGTGAATTCCAGCGGCGATAAAATCAATTATGGCTGCTTTCTTATCCCGGATGTCGAGGTTTTTCTCTCGCATGATGGATTTATAAACAGCCTCAATGCATTCGTCGTGAGCATCTTGCCCTTGTTCTCGTGATGTTTCCTCGACCAATTCTGAAATGATGCTGCGAGGAAATTTTTCAAATCAGACAAGAAACGAATTTTTAAATATTTTACATATAATTAGAATATATAATTTGCACTAAAGAAATATATCTAAATTGAAATAAAAAAAACAAATTGATTTACATTTTAATAGAGTGATTAACATTTCCACATTTATTTTAAAAATATTGATTAATGAAACAAAAAATATTTCTGCAATTTTTATTTAAAGAAAAATTCTGTTACATATAAATAAACGTTGCTATTATAACATTCCTAAACGTGAAAATATTATCCTCCAATCCTCCTTTTTTTCCTTCTATCTAACCCATCCTCATCCTTTTCAAATACTTCAGTATTCCATTTCACCTCACTATTCCCTTTTCACCTCCTCACCTCTCATCACCTCTTTCCCTCTAATTATTCCTTCCTTTTCCTCTCCCATTCCAATAACCTCTTCCTTCCCTACTTTATAAAATTCTAAGATCCAACATTATCTTTTCACCGTCCTTTCTACCATAACATCCTCTCCTCTAATTCTTCCTTCCTACTTCTCTCCTATCTTGACAACCCCTTTCTTCTCCTACTACATAAAATTTTAACCTTCCAACATCTTCTTTACGCCTCCCATCTTTTCTCTAATTCTGCCTTCCATTTCCTCTCCTATTTTGACAATCCCTTCCTTCCCCTATAAATCATCCATCTTACATTTTCTTCTTAACACCCATTTTTCCATCTCGTTCTTTCCATCTTTCCTTTTCCTCTCCCATTTTAACAACCCCTTTTTCCTCTCCTTTATAAAATTCTAGCTATCCTACTGTTTCTTTTCTCATCCCTTTCTTCTATCTCCAACTTTCTAATTCTTCTTTCCTTTTATTATCCCAGTTTGATAATCCCTTTCTTTATCTCCTTTATGAAATTCCAACCATCCTACATTTTTGTTTTTATACCCTTCCTTCCATCTCGCCCTTTCCTCTAATACATCCATCTTGTAAACCTCTCCTTCCCCTCCTATATCAAAATCCAGCCATCCAACATCAGCTTCTTGCGTCCCACCTCTCTCCCTTCCTTCACCTCCTATATAAAACTCCAGCCATCGTACATTTTCCCTTTTCCTCCGATATCCTCTTTTCTTCTACTTTTCCTTCCTTTTCCTCTCTCATTTCGATAACCCCTTCCATCCCCTCCTTTATCAAATTCCATCAACCCTACATTTTCTTCTCGGATCCTTTTCTCCTATCTCCTATTTTTCTCTATTTACCATTTCAACAACCTCTTTCTTCTCCTCCTATATCAAATTTCAGCCATTCAACATCATCTTTTCGCCTCCAATCTTTTCTCTAATTCTGAAAACCTCTCCTTCCCCTCCTATATCAAATTTCAGCCATCTAACATCAGCTTCTTGCGTCCCATCTCCTCTTATTCTCTCTTCCTTTCCCTACTCTATAAAACTCCAGTCATCCTACATTTTCTCCTTTCCTCCTGTCTTTCGCCTCCTCTTTTTCTCTATTTTTCCTTCTTTTTCCATTCCCATTTCGACAACCTCTTTTCCTTCCCCTTCTTTATCAAACTCGAGCAACCCTACATTTTCTTCTCGCATCCTTTCATCCTATCTACTATTTTTCTTTATTTTCCATATCGACAACCCCTTTCTTCCTCTTTTTTATAAAATTCCAACCATCCAACATGATCTTCTCGCGTTTTATCACCTCCTTTTCACTTTTTCTTCCTTACCCTCCTTTGTAAAAGTCCGGTCATCCTACATTTTCGCCTTTCCTCCTATCTCCTCTTTCTTTTCCTTCCCTTTTCTCTATTATTTCGACAACTACTTCCTTCCACTCCTTTATAAAATTCTAGCCATCTTACATTTTCTTTATTCTTTCCTCCTATCTTTTCTTTTCCTCTAATACTTTCTTTCCATTCCTCTCCTTTTTCAACAACTTCTTCCTTACTCTCCTTTATCAAATTCCAGCTATCATACTTTTTCTCCCTTGTTCCAATTGTTCTTACTGAAAATCTCCATATGGTTTTCATATATAGGAACCCATATGGGAAACCATATGGGATTCTATACAAAATCATACTAACACATCAAACAGCCAAACTCTCTTCTTCCAGTCATTCTTAAACCTTTTTTTTCCTATTCCCCACACTTGAACAATTATCTTTCCCGTTCTCTATCTATCCTTCTATTCAAGAGCAAATCATGACTTCCATTATCTCTGAACCAAAACCCAAATAATAAAATTCATTCACTTCTTCTACTTTCCTATCATACAGTTTCCATACCTTCTTTACATTCACCTATATAAATCATTTTCTCTCACATAACGTAATTGGAATACGTAATTGGAATAGGAATTTGAATAGGAAATTAAGTAGGAATTATGATATGAATGTACATTATATCTTAATATCATGCGCAGTAGTTTTCTTTAACTTTTTCGGCTGCGCAATAAATTTTTTTTCATCTCTGTAGTCTATCAGGAACCTCTACTATTGAAAGATATATATTGTTAGAGTTGAAAAAAAAAATTCATATTATAGGAATTGAAATAGGAATATACATAGGAATGTACATTCCTGTGTGGATGTGGATTCATATGATAATTCCGACTTAATTTCCTATTCAAATTCCTGTTCCAATTACGTATACGATTTTGTATAGGAAACCATATGGCTTCCTATATAGGGACCTATGTGGTTTCCCATATGGGAGCCTATGTGGGAATTTTCAGTGGGGTCATCCCATCAAGGTATTTAAAAAATATGAAGTAAGAGACAAAGTGAGAAAGGATGGGAGAAGGGATGAAAGAATATAGGTATTGGATGGGAAGAGAAGAGAGGCTTTGTACTACAGTGTGTACGTTCAAAGTAGAAGATTCAGAACATGTGTTAGAGGGAAGGGGGTCAACCTCTTCGCAGTCTAGTAGAAAAATTGTTTGTGGGCCCAAAAAAAATTCCAAAAAAATATCATATCATCATATGGCGGAAAAAATTTAAAATTGATTCGACTCATTCAAAATTTGGTACTTGGGGGTTTTTGGGGTCGCTGAATCCGAATTTGAGGTCAAATTTTAAAAATTCAAAATGGTGGACCTAATATGGCGGAAAAATTTAAAATTGATTCGTTCAAAATTTGGTACTAGGGGGTTTTGGGGTTGATGAATCCAAATTTGAGATAGATAGTATGAATATGAGAAAGGAAATGAAGTATATGAGGTGGATGTAAAGAGAGATTAGCGTTTAGGTTAATTTATTATTGTAATTAGAGCATAAGATTTTTGTTATATTTATATTTTAAGTCAATGTATATGGATCTTCGAAAATCAGGGGTTTATGTTAAGAATAAATCATTTTTTTTGTAGGATCACCCTAAAAAACACCTAAAATAAAACAGTCCCCTTTACAGTGGAGCATTACATTTATATGATGTATTCCACGCCAAAGTGAAAGTCAATCTGCAATTGCATCTCCGATTTTTTTTTCTTTTAGTATTAATTAAGACTAGCTTCCATGAATTTTTTCAAATTTTTTTAACAAGCCGTTTTCGAGTTATGGAATTTTGAAAATTGGAGAATTTTCATGACTTTTAATGTTTGAATGCTCATAACTTCCTTAAAAATGCATCAATTTTAAAAGACTTTTTTTTCAAAATGTGTGTTTTTAAACGTACTTTTAAACAAAAAAATCGAAATTTTTTTAAACGATATTACTATCAAATTTTTTCAGTTTTAATGAAAAAAGTCATTTTTTTCATTTGACGTACTGATCGATTTTTTTCAAAAATTTTTTTTAAAAAAAACTACTTCTTTTTACGAAACTTTTAAGCCTAGCCCGATAATGAGCAAACAATTTTTACAATATTTTCGGATTTTTTAAAAAAATTTTGAATTTTGAATTTTTTAAAAATATTTTTGGTTTTTTTTATACTACGTACTTTTATGTATTTTGATGCGCTGATTACGAAAATAATAGTGACAATACCCAATAATTTGATTTTTATGGTGAAAACCATAAAAAATCCCAAAATTTCTGGTTTTTTTCGTTTATTGGGTAAAATATGCAAAATTAAAAAAAAACTTTTAAACAAAAGTTATAGATCTTACACTTGGACTTACATTTTGGCGTGGAATATATATATTCCTATTTAGAAAATGTGAATCTTGTTTATTATGTGAATGAGTTGGTTAATGGAGAAAATTTTTCCTGACAATTATCTAACTCGTTTTCTAAACTACATACAGAGATTCCGAATGTCGAATATCCTTGTTTGATTATAAGCTTGACTTACTTGTATATTGCCTCTTCGCTCTGTATTAGTTGTTTGTACGCAGTAGTTGGAAGCAACTTCCACAGTGGCAAACCATAATTGGCATCCCTCGAGGCAATGAAGTGTGATCTCACAGCTTCCGCCAACCTCGATGTCAATGAACATGGACCTGGTTTGAGGAAACCCAGATGACGTCCCAATATCAGTGTGCATGTACCTTAAAGAATAAATTTAAATTGCATCACCAAATAACAGGAAAAAATAACTATTTCTGTCCATTTTTTTTTGTTGTATTTTTTACATTTTAGATAAATTGAGAATTTGTGGAATTTTCAACTTTTTTTCACATTTTACTATATAGTTAAAAATTGTTTTAATTAAAATAAATTTGTTAAAATTATTTTGGAAATATAGTATTAGTATTTTAAAAGATAAAAATCATTTAGGGAACTGATTGTTTATGATTACTAAAAACACATGAAGATAATTACTTATTATCTTAGTGAAAACAAATACGAGTTTAAAAGCAATTTTTCTATTGCTATATTTTTCAGTTAAAGTTTGTCATGCAGGAATAAATGATGTAATCATGTAAAATGATTTTAATTACTTTATAGACTTTAGTTGATACTAGTTGTTACTAGATACTACGAGTTGTGACTGAAAAAAATTTAGTAAAAACTAAAATTCTCTGTTACTTATAGTGAAACAAGAAATAAATTTGTAAAAAGAAATTGTTTTTTTTAGAGAAATTTTTAAGTGGAGTAAATATATCCAACATTAAAAATTTTTTTAAAACATTCGAGAACAGTAAATTATAATAGTGTTAATGAAAAAAAAGTTGAAGCATAAAACACTTAAACTAGTGTAAAAAAAGAGGACACTTTAAAAAAATAATTTTTAAATTTATTTTGCACGAAGAGGGAAGGGGGGATGAATTCCAAAACTTCCCACCTCCCACTTTTCTCTTTCTACTTTCTACCTTCTACTTCTCACTATTCCACATGCCACTGTCCACTTTCTAATTTCCACCTCCCACATTCTACTTCTCATATTTCATATTATTCCATACTCTCACAAGTGGAAAGTTGGGCAAGTAGTAGAAAAAAATTAGAAAAGTTGAGTAAAGGAGGAGAAAGAGAGAGGAAAAATAAATGGAGAAAGTGAGAGACGGCAGAAAAGGCAATTACTAAGTAAAATTAAAGAGAATGAAAAGACAGAGGTTTAATTGAGGAAGAATTTAGACTTAACCGAGAACTAATGTAGATGGAACTTAGGAAGAGTTAAAATAATTAAGATGGATAAATCTGGAATGAAGGAAGGATGGAAGGAAGGAAGCATTTAATGGAGGAGAAGAGCTGAGGCGAATATTGAGAACAAATTTGGAGTAAGAGGAGTAAATAATAAAAAAAGCAAATGGGAGATTAAGGGATTGAATGGAGGAGTAAACTAAGGGAAGAATGGAAAGGAGGATTTCTTTAAATTAAAATCGAAGATAATTAAAATGGAAGAAACTTTAAAGAAGAAAGGAAGGTTTCTATGGAGGAGAAGGAAGCTAAGTAGAGAACGGATTAGAGGAAAATAGAGGAGAAAGTTAAGGTCTAAACTGAAGAGTATTCAGGTTGATGAAACGTGAAGGAAGGAAACTTTTAATAGAAGAGGGTACAAAATGACAAATGGAAAAAATTGGAAAAAAAGAGGATTGAGAAAAAAGCTTGGAGTAAAAGAAAAAGTATAGAATGGAAAACCGGAGAGTAGTTTATGGGGAAGGGAATGGAGGAAAAGAATGTTAAGATACTGGGGAGAAGGGAGAGGAGAGGAGGACGCTAAGGAGAGAACCGAATGGAGAAAGATTTCTAATGGTGAAACTGATAAAAATTAAGATGTATGAAACGTGAAGGAAGCATTCAATGGAGGAGAAGGCTAAAGGAAGAATGAAATGGAGAATTTTCAAGAGTGAAATTAAGAGATTTCAAACAAAACAAATTCGATAAAGGAAGGAAAGCTTTTTCGAGCAGAATGCTATGGAAATAGAGGAGGTAGATGAGGACAGAATTAAAGAGAATTAAGGCAGATAAAACATGAATGGAGGAGAATTTTTAGAAAGTAACTAAGGAGTATTGATATGGATGAAACATGAAGAAAAGAAAGTAGAAAAGAAGTATCTGATAGAAGAGGAAGCTAAGGGCGGAATAAAGTATAAGTTTTTTAAGAGCAAAATTGTAGAAAATTAAAATAAAAGAAATTTCCATGAAGGAAGAAAACTTTTTTTGAAGGAGATACTACAGGGAAACGAAAAAGATTGAAAAGGAGAAAATGTAAAGTAAAAAAGTAAATAAAAAAACGTAGGCGGTAATGTAAGAATCGCTTTTACAGACATTAATGAGATACGTTGGTTATGATTTCTACTTTACCAACTGTCGGTAATGTAGGAATCATCTTTATAGGCAATAATGAGGTTAGTTGGTAGATGGTATTCTACTTTACCGACTTTAAAAGTCATTAATATCAAACTAAAGGATTTTCGAAATTTTAACTAAATATTTTTTTTTAACATAATTTATCTTTTTATTTAGATTTTAAGTAATAAATAGAAAAAAATATGAAAATAAACATACTTTCAAGACCCATTCTGTATGCAATATCCTCAAATCCATGAATTTTGGATCCGCTTCTTCGACTTCGGATGAGATCAATGAATTCATTGGTAACATTGTTGAGGGCAGGAAAAAATCCAAGAACAGTATTGGCTCCCATTAGTTCCGGTGTCAGGGCAGATCTCAACTTGTGCCATGTTTCTCCTTGCCTAGATTTTCATTCAATTCCAGAATATCAGTGACATTATCGTCACTACTCCGCCTCTTCTCTTTAAAATAAAAAAAAGACACCGCTACTGAGGCACCTTTGAAATTTTTCAATTAACTAACAACAACTACGTCAAATAGAAAAAAAAGGAAGTTCTTTTTTTCTTCGTCTTGTTTAATTTATTCAAAATTTTATATATTTTTGTTTATTAAAATTTTGTGTTTAATTTTTAATTAAGAAAAAGAAATTTTTTAGTCAAATATTGAGGTAATATATCAATGAATTTAAACAGTAAGATTCTTACATAAATCTTTTTTTTTTTTTTTTTGCTGAAATAGTTGAAATTTCGATCTATTTTTAGAATGACTAATCTCTTAGTCTTTTTATAGAATATATATATATATAGACCTTTGGTCAGTTGATTTTATCGATTTATTTTTTGCAAGGGATATATTTTGACAAGAATTTAAATTGGCTGTATATATATATATATATATATATATATATATATATATAATGACCTGAGAGAGGAGAAATTTAAGAAGTGATTTTGCGGTCTTGTGGTTACTCACCTTGACGTGGCCTCAAACTTGATCCTATGTTATTTAATTGCTCGAAAAAGAAGAGAGATTATGTATTATAATCAAGATATATTACTTACTCATTGACGAGTCCAAGGTTTGTATAACGATCTTGTCGTGAATTTCGATAATGAGAGATGATCTCTTGTGGGGGTCGAAGTGGATATTTTGATCCGCGTTTGATGATTGTTTCGATGTCTTGTCGAGAAAAGACAGAGATAATTGGATGATTCCAGAGCCCCTCCTCCTTGCACAATGGCCCATAGAGTCGATTCAGATCTACTCTTGATTCAGGGATTAAACAAAGATAAAATCCATTAATCTTTTATTAAATTTTTTCAACCCATCTTACACTCTGCTATAATATATAATACTCAATATTTTAATTTTTTTTTTGCAATTAAAATTAATATTAAATATTAATATATGGGCGATTTTTTCTAAAAAAATAGCATTTTAATATCTTTGTGTTACATCATTTAAACATCTTATCATTAAATTCCTTGCTTTAGACAAAAATTGCAGTTAAAAATCTTTTCACTATGTGTCATAAAAAAAATAATTTTTTACATAATTATATAATGAAAAATAACATTTAGAATAGTAGAGTAACACGATTTCTGGCGCATTTACCTACAGTCGGTAATATAGAAATTGGATTTATAGACAGTAATGAAGTGCGTTGATATATGGTTTTCTACTTTACCGACTGTAGGTAATGTAGGAAGAGGCTTTACAGATAGTAATGAGGTATGTTTGGTATATGGTGTTCTACTTCACTGACTGTAGATAATGTAGAAATCGATTTAAAATACGGTAATAAGGTGTATTAGTAATATGGTGTTTTGATTTACCGACTGTCGGTAATGTAGGAATCGACTTTACCGATAGTAATTAGGATCGTTGTTATATCGTGTTCTAGTTTACCGAATGTAGGTAATGTAGAAATCAATTTGAGAGATAGTAATGAGGTGCGTTGATATATGGTGTTCTATTTTACCGACTGTAGGTAAGTGTGTCAGAATACGTGTTGCTCTATTAGAAGAAACGTGTTAGAAACGATTATAAAATTTAAGGTTAAGTTAACTAAATCGTTTCCTACGGTCGGAAATTATAGTTTTTATTAAAATTTATCTTTTAATGGTTCAAAATGTAAAATATTAAATTATTTACACTTGCACTTAATCACTTTGAAAGTTAAAATTATTATTATTATATTTTGTTTTTATTTAAAGATTCAAAATTATCTAGTTGGACTAACTTTTACATTTGATTGTTTATCTGATTCTTCCTTAATTTATTAATTTTTTTTAATACATAAAAGATATAATGAAATAAAAAATAAAAATATTATAATATTAAAAAATGAAAATAGTAAATATTAGAAATGTCGCCAAAATAAATTTTCATGAAAAATCGATTCAATTGGAAAAATTTACTTTCAATTTACGCATCTAATCGACAAAAAATTGATGTCACTGGTTAAAAATTTGTTTTTTAATCTGTTTTTTTAATCATAATTTAATTGACCAGTGACCGATTAAGGAAATGGACTGAAAAAAAAGAAAAAATCTCGTTACAACATTCGTTAAATAACTTTACAGATTATCTAATTATGACATGTGTTACTTATTGATAAGTTCAAAAAAAAAAAAAACAAATAAATTATCAACTATCGTTTTCCATTTACACGCACGCAATTATGCCGGGGTAAAAATATATACCTATTAATAATTCATTATATTTAATTCATGTATATCAAACCAAAAAACATTATGATCATTATCAACTGTTTCAATTATGAAAAATTTTTCAATGTCAAGAGTAAATTTATTGTTTATTTTTTTGTTTTTAAAAAAGACGTTTTAATTACTATTTTATTTGTTTTTTTGGGGCAATCAATTATTATTCCATTTGTACATAATAATACTTTAAATATACTTTATTTATTACCTTATTAATTCTTACTTAATACAATCTACATTGTTATTTTCCTTGAAATTTCTTTAGTATTTACTTTTTCGTAAAAAAATATTTACTTTTTAAAATTATAACGAATTCTTGGAAAAAAATGACTTCCGTTATCTATCTTTATGTTTAACTAATGAGAATACATATTTTATTTCTTTTATGAATGGGAATTGAATTTGAATGGAATTTTTTTTTTTTTTTTGGTGTAGGAAATCAAATGTTAAAATTCGTTAATTCGTGTTAAGTTTTTTTTCTCTCAAAGTATACATTTTTGCACAAGATATTTATTACTCATATGGAAGATTCTCCAAAAACAAGGCGTTTTTACTTAAAAAACTTTAAAATTTTAATTTTAATTTAATTTCTTTAAAAAATTCAAAATTACCTCGACAAAAGAAATTTTTACAGTTCTCCTCATGGAGCTTGCCGAGATCAGAAATATATATAAGTGATTCTACATGAATTTTATCAATGACATTTTAAATTCGGTAAATATATTTTTTTTCGATCTTTATAGAAAAAAAAGGTTTACGTATTCTTTTATTTTTTTATAAGTACTCAAATTTTCGAGTTATGAATTTTTAAAAATATAAATCTTTCGAGTTTTTTAAAAATACACCTAATTTTAATGACATTTAACTATAAAAGTATTGAATTTAGGAATTATGACCAGGATAAAAAAAGGTTTAGTTTTTCATCGACTTTCAAAATATGTTAACGAAAAAAAAAATTTCAATTTTTTTAATAAAAAATAACGATTTTTTATAAAGAAAATAAATTTTTTTAAATTTGGATCCGATTAAAAAAAAAAATTTTTTTATATTTTTACACACATAAAAATATTACGAAAATTTTGTAATAAGTTTTGGAGTGGGCCTGATCATCCTTTTGTTTATATAATTTGTTTAAAAAATAATTTTTTACTTTTTTTTTTATTTTTCGAAATGAAAGTTGTTTTGGGCACTAGGATCTTTTACTAAACTCATTGAAAAGCAAATAAAAAAATATTTTATTTTGAAAAATAAGAAAAAAATTAAAAAAATTTTTTTATTTTTTTAACAATTTATATAAACAAAAGAATCATCAGGCCCACTCCAAAAATGATTGCAAATTTTTTTTTATTATTTTCATGTGTGTAAAAATAAAAACAAAATTTTTTAAATTTGAAAGTCTTTTGTGATCATTTTGAAGCTGAATTTTATTTCTTTTTGAGTACCGTGGATGTACCAGTTACCGTCCATGTCCCAGTATCCGTCCATTTTACAAATATCTCGTATAGTAATTTAAATTATTTTTTAACAATAATTTAATCCTTTTGGCACGCAATCGACTTATTAGTTTAAGTAAACAAATAAAAGAAAATAATTTTTTTATAAATGTTATTTTGAAAATTATACTGGATGGAAACTAGGTCTTAGGTGGACGGCAACTGGGACATCCACGGTATTTTTATTTTATTTATGTCAGTTTTTATTTTGACCTAAATCTCAAAAAGATCGAATTGTTAAAAGTTCAAATTACCAAAATATTGAATTTATAAAAACTTCAATTACAAAAATTTCGAATAATTCGAACATTTGGAAATTCAATTAAATAAAAATACGAACTTATAGAAACCAAATTTTTCGGTAATTCAATCAATTAGACATTTGAATTTTTAACAGTTCTATCTTTTAATAATAATTCGAATTTCTAACAAATTTAATCTTTGTATGATTTGAACTTTTGAAAATTCGATTTTTTGATAATTCGAATTTTTTAAAATTCGATCTTTAGGAATACCTACGTTTTTTGATAATTAATAATAGTAATAATAATAATTAATAATAATAACAATAATTAATAATCCGGAACTTTTGATAATTTGAAATTCGATTTTCTGATAATTTAAACTTTTAATAATACGAATTTCTAAGAATTCGATCTTTTAACAATTTTATATAATATTTATTCAATTTTATGTAGAATTCGATCTTTTGAGATTTAGGCCAAAAATAAGGTGGTCCATTTTATTGCAAACTGAATTAAAAATATTCAAAAGAGTTAATATTTAGTTTCGGAATGAAATTGATTAATATTATTAGAAATGAATCAAGACCCTCATAACAAAAGGATATCCCTAGGATATCCATATCAATGGTCGATATCCTAGAATGATCCCCAGGATATCTTGGGATATCCATAGGATATCCCTAGAATATCCAAACCGCCGGTCTGTGGGACATCAACAGGACATCCATAGGATATCCGCAGGATATCCCTAAGACATCCACAAAATATCTATTGGATATTATATCGCAGGATATCCATGGGATATCCTCAGGATGTCCGTGGGATATCCTCAGGATGTCCGTGGGATATTCTTAGGATATTCACGGGATATTTAATATCTCAACATATATTTTTAAAGGTTAAAATTGTTAAGCTGATATAATGAATAATAATATAATAAAAACAAAAATATTATGAGCTTCTAATTTATTTTAAATAAAGATTTGAAACGCATTTTTCAAAGTTTTTAAATAAACTTTCTCGAAAAACAAGTTGCCTTTTATTTTATTTATATAAAATTTAATTCACAGAATATTCTCACTCGTAGTCTCATAATGACTTTAAAAACAGTATCCTGAGAATATCTTCTTGACATCCAGAAGATATACTGAGAATATCCTGAAAATATCTGTGGGATATCCTGACGATATCTATGGGATATCCAAACCGCCGATTTTTGGATATCCTTCAGAGATTCTTTTGATATCCATAGGACATCCCTAGGATATCTGCGGGATATTATCAATATATCCCAAGATATCTTGTGTTATTAGGGAAAGCATTTTTTTTTTGAGTTACATAAAAATTTAGATTCGGATAGAAATTAATTATTTATTTATTTATTTAGAAACATAACGGGAATTATGTTTTATTTTTTAAATATTTGTGATTCTGGAATTTTTATCTTATTGGAAAAAATATATAATTTTTGGAACTTTCTGCTCTTTTAATATTTATCATGAAGCATTCAAGTTAGAACTTTTGAACCTCTTTTTTTTTATTTAAATGAATAAAATATTTTTTTTAATAATAATTAACATAAATTCGGAGAATTCCTACCTTTGTAAGCATCGTGAATTTTATTCATATCGTAATATCCAAAGCAGGAGTAAATCCACATTGTCCCGTAAAATGGAAAGGAATATGGTCCCGGAACATTTTTCGCTGTTCTACGTCTTCTGGGTTGTGTTGGACTTGATGGAACTTCTTGAAAAAGAAATGAGAAAAATAAAAATGATAATTTTTTTTACATATTCTAATCAAAATAATATAAATATTTCTATAATTATCTTTAATATTGTTATACACAACAAACATTTTTTTTTTTAAATATTAAAATCGAGGCACTTTTAGTCGAATTTATATATATATTTGTTCGAATTATTTTTTGACACACGCAAAAAATTTTTTACCTGGAATAGCGATAAGTTTTACTGGCACAGCGAAAGTTTTCGTTATTCTAGAGAAACATATCGCTGTTTTAGATAAAGATTTTTTTCCGTACAGAATTTTCATTAGAGAATTTTTTCTATAACCAAAAATTCACTTCACAGAATTTCGAATTTACATTTATTAATTTTTTCTTTTAATTTTATAAGAGCTGTATTTTTTTAAATAATAGTTCTAAACATAACTAAAAAGCAAATATATTGAATTTAATTTGTGTATTAAAAAAAAAAATTTACATTTCTTCATTATAAAATAATATTCTCTAAACGTGAAAATTTTTAAAAATAATGAACCAATTAAATTATAATTTTGCAAACATTAAATAACGAACAGAGTAAAAAATCAAAATACTTAATATTAATAGTCGAAATAAAATATAAATAACATTTAATAAATTAAATAAAAAAAAAATAAAGACCGATTAAAATTCAATTTTTTTTTGTCGTATATTTCAGTAATTGTAATCAAAATCTCAAAATCTGCAAAGTTTCTCTGAAATTTACGATTTCTGCTTTCTAGAATTGCCCGCGAGAGGTGGAATTTTAATATTTATGATCCCACTTTCTACCAGAATGTGTTCAAGATGATCTACTATATACTTGGTTGAAGAGAAAAAAAAAAGATTTCATCTCATAGTTAAAATCCCAATTTTTTTAAAGAACTGCTAAAAAGTACTGAATAAAATATAATAAATATTAAGAAATAAATATAAATATTTATAAAAATAGATAATAATGTAATATCCAACAAGCAATATATATATATATTTTTTTCAATGGCATATAATATATGGTTATGCGTAATTTCTCAGTCGATAATAAGATTACAAATTGTCAGTTTTGCAAGCTTATCGATTTTCGAACTTCTTTGAAACTTTTATCATTAGCGGTGAGTTATCATTTTTTTTTTTTTTAAATCATCATTATTTATAGAAAGTAAAATTTCCATTATAGAAATAAGATTATAAAAAAAGTATACTATTTAAAGAAGAATATTTTTCTTTTATTCAATAATTTATTTGCAATTAATCGAGTATCGTTAATATTCTTTAAATTAGCGCTTCTTATGAAATTTTATTTTTTCCAATGTTTTAAATTTAAAATTTTTAATTAAAAAAAAATTATTACATAAAATTGATTTTTTTCGAGTGAAATAATATCACAAGATTAACTTAAGTTTCAGTATTTCTCGTAGACGCTGATTCTAGCTCAACTGATAAATTACTGAAAAATTACGAAGTCAGAATTGTCCGATTGGCTCAAAATTTTGAGAAAACTCAATAATTTGCTAAAAAAAACACGAATTAAAGTTAAAAAAAAGTCAATTTTTTTTCTGTTACACTAATTTAGTGTTATCGCATACATTTTTTCCCGCTGAATTTGAATTTGAAGTCAGAATTGTCACATTGGCTCAAAAATTTTAAGAATTTAAAAAACTGCTCAAAGAACGAATTAAAGTCAAAAGCGGAAAATTTTTGAGCAATGACACTACGCTAGTGTATTGACTTATATATTTATGGGGTAACACCACTCTATAGGTAGAAAAAATAGACCTATTTGTGATGATGTATTTTGGGAAAATGAAAAAAGGAACAAGGTCGACCTATTCAGGTCAAATAGGTCCTAATTAATTTCACCTACAAGGCCTTGGTTAGATCTAGTCTATGTCAAATAATTTTACATGAAGAAAGATCAAGTTTTTATGCAAGGAATCGTCAGGGCAAGAATTTTTATGTAAAAAACACTAGACTCAATCAAGGCCTTGTAGGTGAAATTGATTATGACCTATTTGACCTGGATAGGTCGACCCGTCGAAAAAAGTACTTAGACGATTTCAACGTTGAATTTCCTGCTCTTCCGATTTGTAACATGAAAAGTAGATGGTTCCATTAAAAAAAATGAGTTGAAATTGAAATGACCTAATTCAGGTCATTAAGGACAAATTTAGGGTCATCACTGAATATTCCCCTTTAAGCACAGCAACTTTTGACAGAAACATGTTTTTGTAAAATTAATTAGTTTAAAGTTATTTCCCCAAATACAATAATAATTAAATGACCTATTTGTCGTAAATAGAACGATTTATCGAAAAAATTGCATCAACGATTTCGACGTGGAATTTCCTGCCTTATCGATTTCCGGCATAAAAAGTAGGTGGTTCCATTTAAAAAAAATGATTTGACCTTGAAATGACCTAAATTAGGTCATTTAGGACAAATTCAAGTTTACCACTGAATGTCCCCCTCTGAGCACAATAACTTTTGTCTAAAACATTTTTTTGTAAAATCAACTGATTAAAAGTTATTTCGCCTGATAGATTAAAATGGGACACCCTGTATAATAATCCGAATTTAATAATAATTATATCACAGAAAAAAAGGTGGGTAAAAAATTGTAAAGATAGAGGATAAAAGTCGTTAGGATACAGGGTAAAGGATAAATTTGTGATGGATAAAAATTTTACTAAAATATTACTAGAAAAATGGATGTCATATTTGAGTAAACTGTCTAATTTTAATAAAAATATTAGTAATTTTACACTTAACTTATTAAATCCACAAATTTTATAGAGTAAGTGTACTAATTACGGCGAGTGCACCAATAACGGCGCGTTCATAAAAAATAACTATTATTACTATTATATTTAATATAACTGTTGCCAAATGATTAAATAAAATTATTTCAATCTTTTTTTGATACAAATACTTATAAAGATGCACATTTAAACAATTATTAATTTAATTATTTGAGATCAAATTTTTTTCCGCTCCGCAATTGAAACATTTTTAAGATTTCCATTGGCTTCAATTTCGGCGGGCAAAGTATCTTCAAAATACACGTAATTTTGGTCACCGAAATTGATACACCGAAACTGATACAAACTCGCCGCAATAGAAAATTACGGTATTAGTTTTAATTTCTCATATTTGTTTAAATAATCGATTTTTATAGAGTTAAATTTTTTTTTAATATCTTAATAACATAAGCTTTAAGTTTAATAAGTCTTAAATTGAGTTTATACAATAGAAATGTCGAATTTTCTATTTCAAAGGTGTTTTGACTCGAATCTCGCCGCAATTAGTGCATTTACCCTATAAATAAGTAATTGCATGTGGAAATATGTTGCCTATAATTATTATTGTTTACTAATAAAAATATCTTTGACTAATACAACTGACAGCTGACGACAGTACGTAAATAATCAGAACTGGGAAATTACAACTCAACGTCTGTATTGTTGCACGAAAGCAGATTTGGGTAGTAACTGAATTTTTTGTGCATATTAGGCTGTGTCAGTTCATCGAGATATTTCGAGTTCAAGATATGACGTCAGAGGCCTGTAGAGACAACAAACAGACGACACGATGTTATTCTTACGGGGAAGAAAATTTGTTTCCACTTTCATCAATTTTATTCATACTTTGAACAAGGAAAACGCTTGTTGACATCTAATAAAATTAAAATGTGTGTTGATAATTAATTTTGTTATATATTTGATTCATTTGCATTGATAGATTCTCTGAATTCGTGATAAAATATAAATTTTGAGGTTAGGGGTGTTTGTTTACTAATCACATTTTACATTTTAACATTATTAAACAATATCCAGTATGCATGGTATTAAAAAAGATATAAGATATATATTTTAAGTGGGAATTACCGCAGCAGTAAAAGATTTCAAGTTAGTAAACAAACACCCCTAACCTCAAAATTTATATTTTATCACGAATTCAGAGAATCTATCAATTTTAATGAATCAAATATATAACAAAATTAATTATCAACACACATTTTAATTTTATTAGATGTCAACAAGCGTTTTCCTTGTTCAAAGTATGAATAAAATTGATGAAAGTGGAAACAAATTTTCTTCCCCGTAAGAATAACATCGTGTCGTCTGTTTGTTGTCTCTACAGGCCTCTGACGTCATACCTAGAATCGACTCTGACGTCACAAGTGACAGAGCCTAATATGCACAAAAAATTCAGTTACTACCCAACTCTGCTTTCGTACAACAATACAGACGTTGAGTTGTAATTTCCCAGTTCTGATTATTTACGTACTGTCGTCAGCTGTCAGTTGTATTAGTCAAAGATATTTTTATTAATAGACAATAATTATAGGCAAAATATTTCCACATGCAATTACTTATTTATATAAAATTTGTGGATTTAATAAGTTAAGTGTAAAATTACTAATATTTTTATTAAGAGCATTTGAACCTTCGTGACGTCACAAATCATGGCGCATGACACGCAAACTTCTCAGGTATGTGAAAAGCACAATTTTGAATATTTTGTAAAAAAACCTTTTGGAAAATGTTCAGAATAACATAGACTCTGTCTGTTATGTGCGGAAAATTCAAAATTTTGCGTTTAAAACGTTTTTTAAACAATGTTAAGGTCACAAATCATGGCGCATGACACGCAAACTTCTCAGGTATGTGAAAAACACAATTTTGAATATTTTTTAAAAAAACCTTTTGGAAAATGTTCAGAGAAACATAGACTATGTCTGTTATGTGCGAAAAATTCAAAATTTTGCGTATAAAATGTTTTTTAAACCATGTTTAAGTTGGTTGTCACAAGTAAGGAAAAATACACGAATTGCTTATATGTAGGCATTGTTTAAAAAACGTTTTAAACGCAAAATTTTGAATTTTTCGCACATAACAGACAGAGTCTGTTATTCTGAATATTTTCCAAAAGGTTTTTTTAAAAAATATTCAAAATTGTGTTTTTCACATACCTGAGAAGTTTGCGTGTCATGCGCCATGATTTGTGACCTTAACATTGTTTAAAAAACGTTTTAAACGGAAAATTTTGAATTTTCCGCACATAACAGACAGAGTCTATGTTATTCTGAACATTTTCCAAAAGGTTTTTTTAAAAAATATTCAAAATTGTGCTTTTCACATACCTGAGAAGTTTGCGTGTCATGCGCCATGATTTGTGACGTCACGAAGGTTCAAATGCTCTTAAAATTAGACAGTTTACTCAAATATGACATCTATTTTTCTAGTAATATTTTAGTAACATTTTTATCCATCATAAATTTATCCTTTACCCTGTATCCTAACGACTTTTATCCTCTATCTTTACAACTTTTTACCCACCTTTTTTTCTGTGATTTTCATATCATATAAATGAAATAAAATATAAAAAAATAACCCAGTGTGCACGTTATGTAACTGTTCTAGAACAAAAAGTGTAACTTGTTCTAGAACAAGTGTTACAATTTTGTTATAGAACAGTTCTGGAACTGTGTTCTAGATCTATCTAGATCTTCTTTAAGTCAAGGAAATTTTACTCAAATAAATTACAAATTACAATTTTACTTTTATTAAACTGATGCAAAAAAACGTTCTGTAATTCTAAAATATTGTTATTGATCGGTTACAGAATTGTTATAGAATTAAAATTTTAAAAAATTTATTTTGTTATCAAATTGTTACATATTTGTTCTAGAACAATGATATAGATCATTGTTCTGGAATTGTTACAGATCCTGTTACTGTTTTGTGCCACCAAGGGGACGACATTTTTACTGACCTGTTCCTCACCAGTTCTAGAACTTATTCTTTTTTATTATAGAAGAGTTACAGAACTGTTCTGTAACTTTGCACACTGGGATTATAATAAAAATTGACAAATTAAAAAAATTTAATAATACAAAATAAAAATATAAATACTATGGACAAAAGTTAAAATAGGTTAGGCGAAGAATCTTTTTATTAAATTTAATTTTAATTACTGTGCAAGGGGCGCATGATTATCCCATAAAAATCATTAGTTAAAATTTTTATTTTAAAGAATTTTATTATATATAATTATTTTTTAGATGAATTTTCATTTTTCGAAATAACATTTGTGCAGAATTTCTTTTTAAACTAATTTTTACTTGTCAGAATTCTTATGTATCAAATATTTATTTGTCCAAAATTGCAAATGGCCGAACAAACAATCGATTTTGACGCGATGTTTAAAATTCACTAATCAAAAGTTGTCAAAAAAATCGTGATTGGTGGATTTTAAACATCGCGCTGAAATCTTTCTCTCGATTGTTTGTTTGGCCATTTTCAATTTCGGAAAAATAAAAATTCGACGTTTTAAGAATTCTACCAAATAAAAATTACCTAAAAACTCCGTTAATTAAAAATTCTTTAAAAAAGAAATTCTGCAAAATGTTAATTTTAAAAATGAAAATTCGTCTAAAAAATAATTATATCTAATAAAATTGTTAAAAATGAAAATTTTAACTAATGATTTTTATAGGATAATCAAGACCTGTGCAAGTCCAAGTAAGATTTTAATTATTTCGGAGTAAGTAAACCAATTGCAATGAAACTCAGGAATTTTAATCTATACATATAAAAAGAAATGTTTCCACCAAATATTAAGTCAAAATATTCACACAGTTTCTGAGATGTGAAAATTTTGAAAAAATTGAACGCAAAAAATTTTTACGGTTTTAGGAATGGGATTTTTTTCACGAAACTGTTAAAGATATAACTATTTCATGCACTAATGACATAAAGTACATGTATTTAAGTATTCAAAAAATCAAAGAACATTAAAAAAATTAAAAAATGTCGGAGATATGTTGATTATTGTGCGAGTATATACTTTTTGCAACGATGGGCATATGATAACTCAAAAAATATTTGACCGATTGACTTGAAAACTGAAACATAACTTCTTAAATATATTCTCCACGGAGTGACGTAGGATTTTTTTATTTTGTTAATTCAAAAAAAAAAAAAATTTATGAACTTTTTTAACTGTTTATTTTGATCCAGAAAAAAATTCATTCTTTTAAATTAAATATATTTCAGTGATTTGAAAAGTAATTTAGTTAATTTGTAAGTAACTGTAATAACTGCAACTAGTTACTTTTTTATATAAGAGTAACTGTAACTAGTTGCTAAGAAAAAAGTAACTTACCCAACACTGTTCTTTACTTATTGCTAAATGAATGTTTGAATAATAATTATTTTTCTCTTCCAAACTTTGTTCTTCCGTTTTGCACACTTTTTAAAAACAAATACTCATTAAATATGAATAAACTAAACATGTATAATATGTATTATAACAGAACTAAATAAACTATACAGTTGTCTTTATAATATTTTTCATTTATTTTTACACAATTCCGAGAAATTTTCACTTTCACACACGAAAATTACGAATTTTTTTCTCCATATATCAAATACCAAAAATTAATAATAATTTAATTCCTCTTTAGCAAAATTTGTTTCTCCTGTCTCCCAAAAATTTTTTTTTCACCTTAATATAATCAAAATAAAAAGTCCCTCGTAAATATGGACATTCTATTATAAATAATTTATAAAAAAAAAAAAAAAATACAACACAATTTTATACACGTAGATTTTTTTGTATTTTTCACTAAAATTAAAAATTTACAAAAAGAAAAAAAACGTTCAAAATTTTTAATCAAATTGAAATTAAAAAAAAAAATTGAAAGTTAAAACACTCACCCTTGCAAAGTGTTTTGATGACAAACCACCATGATGATCGGTAGCTGGAGGCCAACACGAGGACAGTGAAAAATGCAACAACAACAACCTCGAACCATGCTCCGGACATCAGCATCATATCTGAATTTGTGTATTGTTTCTACAACAACAAGAGCAACGGCGCTTTTTAATATCACACAAGAGATTCACCTCCTCCTCCTCCTCATCCCTCCTCTCGCGCATACCGAAGATTATTTACACTTTAAAGACAATCGAGTGGTGAAGTGACGGGACTTGTGGTGGGGGGAGAATAGGGTAAGTGGGAGTTAAAGGAAGGGGATGCTTTATATAAACCAAACAAAAGTGGTGGGAGAGAGAGAGAAAGAGACGATTATCTTATTCTTCTTCTTTTCTCTCTCTCTTTCACACACTCACCAAGCTCAATCACAATAATTGTATAATTTGAAACTGACTCGCGTGTCACTTCGACTGCCACGAAGTGTCTGAATAAGGAGCTCCGTTAGTTTTAACTCTTTTACTCCTTGACCGTGTGTAGGAATGGAAGGATAAAAAAAGAAAGTCAACGCGAAAAAGGAAACAAGAATATGTAAATATGTATGTGACGCTCTCTGAAGAAATGGACCTAAGAAACAAAAAATTATAGGTTGTGTTTTGAAATTTTTAAGTGAAAATACACAAATAGGAACAACTCTTAATTATTGATATTTAAGTCTTCATTACATCTAAAATGTATTGAATAAAAAATGATACTTTACATAATTAAAAAATAAACTTTTAATTAAAACTATCGAAAACATGACCTGAAATTTGTTTGCTTTTAAAGGTCCCTTTCTTATTCGAGCGCATCACATATACGTGACACTCTACGGTGAAAGGGACCTTAGCTGTTAACAAATTTTAGGTTATGTGTAGTGATAGTTTATTTTCATTTAATGTAAAAACAAAACAAAATTGAATATTTTAGATCTATACCCTAATAACACAAGATATCTTGGGATATATTGATAATATCCCGCAGATATCCTAGGGATGTCCTATGGATATCAAAAGGATCTCTTAAGGATATCCAAAAAATAGGCGGTTTGGATATCCCATGGATATCTGAGGATATCCACAGGATATCTTCTGGATATCTCTATAGACTTTCATAAATGCCCTCCAGATATCCCATAGATATCGTCAGGATATCCTACAGATATTTTCAGGATATGCTCAGTATATCTTCTGGATGTCAAGAAGATATTCCCAGGATACTTGTTTTTCGAGAAAGTTGTTTAATTTGAAAAATTATTAACTAATTTTTTTCTCATTCGTGATTCATTCCTTTATTCATATGCTTAATATTGTCAGAAAATAAATTGGCTTTAAACAATATAAATTCTTCCCCGCAAATAACGAATAACTATTAATATTAATTATACATTAAGTGCATAAGTTTATTTAAAAACTTTGAAAAATGCGTTTCAAATCTTCATTTAAAATAAATTAGAAGCTCATAAGATTTTTCTTTTTATTATATTATTATTCATTATATTAGCTTAACAATTTTAACCTTTAAAAATATATGTTGAGATATTAAATATCCCGTGAATATCCTAAGAATATCCCACGGACATCCTGAGGATATCCCATGGATATCCTGCGATATAATATCCAATAGATATTTTGTGGATGTCTTAGGGATATCCTATGGATGTCCTGTTGATGTCCCACAGACCGGCGGTTTGGATATCCTATGGATATCCCAAGATATCCTGGGGACCATTCTAGGATATCGACCATTGATATGGATATCCTTTGGATATTCTTTTGTTATGAGGGTAATAAAAACTTAAACATCAGCGGTTTTTTTATTAAGAGTTAATCAATTTTTTGTTTGTAGTATCTCCCTAAAATCACAAACATAACCTAAAATTTGTTTGCAGCTAAGGTCCCAGTTTCACTGTGGAACAATATGAGGTACTCCACGTCAATTCAGACACCATTTTACATTTACAACTTCGATTTTTTTGAAACTTTTTTTTTCGTTTAGTACTAATTAAGAGCTGTCATGATTTTTTCAAATTTTCTTTTAGCGAACCGTTTACGAGATATGAATTTTTGAAAATTTCAGAATTTTAATCATTTTTTATCTTTAAATACTCATGACTCCCTTAAACATGTATCAATTTTAAATATATATTTTTTTTAATTTTGCGTTTTTACGTAAACTTTTCCAAAAATTTTTATTTTTGAAAAATATATCCGGTTTTTTTAATGCTACGTACATTTATTTATTTTGGTGCGCTGATTACGAAAATCTTAGGGACAATATTCGCAAATTTAATTTTTATGTCGAAAACCATAAAATAGTATTAAAATTTTTGGTTTTTGGGTTCTTTTGGTAAAATATGCAAAATTTAAAAAAAAAACTTTCTGACGAATATGTGATATGACTATTATTTTATGATTTTCAAAACAAATAAAATTTGCGGGTATTGTCACTAAGTTTTTCAATATACATAAATTGTATGTAGTATATAAAATAAACCGGATATATTTTTTAAAAAATTCAAAATTTCGAAAATTTTAATACATTCTGAAAAAATTGAAAAATACTGGACTAGGCTTAAAATTTTTGTAAAAATAAGTTATTTTTTTTGAAAATTAAAAAACAAATTTTAAGATACAAACAGTTTTAAAAATAAAATTTTTAAAAGTAAAAACGTTTCTTAACGTATTTTTTTACGCTGAATTCGAATCTGTCGTCAGATTTTTTCTAACATGTCAGATTTCAAAATGGCGGAGGAAAAAAGTCGTAACTTACTTGAAGGTTTTTGGGGTTGCTGATTACGAATTTGAAATCAGATTTTAAACATTCAAAATGGCGGATCCAATATGGTGGACAAAAATATGAAAAATCAAACGGATTTGCTTGAAACTTATTACTCGGGGATTTTCGGGGTTGCTGATTACGAATATGAAGTCACAATTTTAAAAATTCAAAATGGCAGATGAAAAAATAAAAAATCAATTTAATTAGCTTGAAACTAATACTAATTGTAAGTGATTTTTGGGGTCTCTGATTACGAATATGAAGTCAGATTTAAAAAATTTTTAATAATAAGTTTGAAGCAAATTTGATTTTTAGTATTTTCGTCCTACATATTGAATTTTTTAAATCTGACTTCAAATTCGTAATCAGCCACTCCAAAAACCTTTAAGTAAGTTACGACTTTTTTTCTAAGTCATATATTTCGATTTTTAGTAACAATTACCTCCACAGCACCGAAACTTTCCTAAAGATTTCCTAAAGATTTATTTGAAATATTCCGAACATTTCAAATAAATCTTTAGGAAAGTTTCAGTGTTGTGGGGGTATTGTTTAAAATAGCAAAAAATTAAAATTGCAATTATCTCAAAAACTTGACGTATAGTGAAAAAACGGACTGTTGTTTCCAATTCAACGTTAAAATTTACCTTAGAAACGGGTTTTCGTTGCTCGAATCCAAAACCTTATATGTAAACCTGTGAAATCATTAAAATTCTAAAATTTTGATAAATTCTTATCTCGTAAATGGCTTGCTAAAAAAAATTTCAAAAATATTGGAGATGTAAATATGCAAGATGGTGTCTGATTTAGCGTGGAATACCTTATTAATATGTATTACTGTATAAAAGTAAAAAAAGATACATATAATAGCGAAGAAAAAAGAATAAAAAAAGTTGCGAGAGTCAAGTAAAATTGATTTATATTAATTCAGTTGCTCCCGACTAGTTCTCTTTATAATTATATACATATATATTATGTATTCCACGCCAAAGTGTAAGTCCACCTGCAATTGCATCTCCGACTCTTTTGAGATTTTTTTTTCTTTTAGTACTAATTGCGACTAGCTTCCATGAATTTTTTCAAATTTTTTTAACAAGCCGTTTTCGAGTTATGGAATTTTGAAAATTGGAGAATTTTCATGACTTTTAATATTTGAATGCTCACAACTTCCTTAAAAATGCATCAATTTTAAAAGTCTTTTTTTCAAAATGTGTGTTTTTAAACTTACTTTTCAACAAAAAAATCGAAAATTTTTTTTAAACGATATTTACTATCAAATTTTTCAATTTTAATGAAAAAAAGTCATTTTTCTCATTTGACGTACTGATCGATTTTTTTCAAAATTTTTTCAAAAAAACTACTTCTTTTTACGAAACTATTAAGCCTAGCCCGATAATGGGCAAACAATGTTTACAATATTTTCGGAATTTTTCAAAAATTTTTGAATTTTGAATTTTTTAAAAATATTTTTGGTTTTTTTTATACTACGTACTTTTATGTATTTTGAAGCGCTGATTACGAAAATCATAGTGACAATACCAAAACATTTGATTTTTATGGTGAAAACCATAAAAAGTCCCAAAATTTATATTTTTTTTTGTTTATTGGGTAAAATATGCAAAATTATAAAAAAACTTTCCAACAAAAGTTATAGATCTTATTAAAATACTACTTCTTTTTACGAAACTTTTAAGCTTTTAAAAAAGTCCCAAAATTTATGGTTTTTTCGTTTATTGGGTAAAATATGCAAAATTAAAAAAAAAATGCATAAGATAAGAAAAATGTATTTTAATAAGATCTATAACTTTTGTTCGAAAGTTTTTTTATAATTTTTCATATTTTACCCAATAAACAAAAAAAAAACATAAATCTTTGAACTTCTTTATGGTTTTCACCATAAAAATCAAATTTTTGGGTAATGTCACTATGATTTTCGTAATCAGCGCATCAAAATACATAAAAGTACGTAGTATAAAAAAAAACCAAAAATATTTTTAAAAAATTCAAAATTCAAAAATTTTTGAAAAATTCCGAAAGTATTTTAAAAATTGTTTGCCCATTATCGAGCTAGGCTTAAAAGTTTCGTAAAAAGAAGTAGTTTTTTTGAAAAAATTTTGAAAAAAATCGATCAGTACGTCAAATGAGAAAAATGACTTTTTTTCATTAAAATTGAAAAATTTGATAGTAAATATCGTTTAAAAAAAATTTTCGATTTTTTTGTTGAAAAGTACGTTTAAAAACACACATTTTAAAAAAAAAGATTTTTAAAATTGATGCATTTTTAAGGAAGTTATGAGTATTCAAAAATTAAAAGTCATGAAAATTCT